TGAATCCTCAGCACTTAGGGAAAGCAGGGTACCTTGGAATCTTGACTCTGATGAGATGGAAGTAGAGGCCAAAGATGGACACCCCAGGTGATCTCTGACCTTCACACACACAGATTTTTAATTAAAAAAGAGAGAAGTGTAGTCCACCACCACGCAAAGATGGCTGGTCCCCAAACCCTCAGTGGCTGACGCCACTAGATAGCAGAGGAGCGCAAAAGGGAAACAGGTGACACGGAGATGGCAGACACACACCATGAAGCGTAAACTCTAAAAGTCTGGGACCCCAACAAGACAGAGAAACACAGCAGACTCAAGCCCTAGTCCCCAACCAGGCCACCTGTTCCAAGCCTGGGCCCTTGTTCTCATGCACCCGTGACAGTCACCTCGCCCACCAGGTGATAGCAGAGGCCACCTTGTGAGGCAACAGCACCCCCTCTCACAGGACATTGGCAGGACAGGTGAGCACAGGGGAGTGGCTCTCACTTCATACCATCAGCCACGGGGGTCCCGGGACCCCAAAGCTGGGTATATGCGACTCTCCAGACACCCAAGACACCTGAGAAATTGTCACCCAAAGGTGAGGACAGGTCAGACACCCCAAAAGGGAAATTACATCCCCTTGTTGACATCTATTTGGGGTGCTGGAAATGAATCCAGGACCTCACACGCACAAGGCAGGTGCTCCACTGAGATGCACCCCAGCCCCATTCTTACGTCTTTGGGGTTTGGAGTTTTGTGGGGTGTCTGTGTGTCTCTGTGTACATATGTGTCTCAGGATGCACCCATGTGGAGGTCCAAGGCTGTTACGGGTATCTTCCTCAGTCCCTCTCCACCCGATGTTTATTATTATTATTATTATTATTATTATTATTATTATTATTTATATTATTTGGTCTTTTTTTTAGGCTGGGTCTAGTCCCAGCTGGCCTCGAACTCACTATATAGACAGGTTGGCCTTGATCTCACAAAGATCTGCCTCCTAAGTGCTGGGGTTAAAGGCGTGGCCACCATTCCCCACCATCCACCATGCAGCAGGCTTTCTCACCGAACTGAACTGAACTGAAGCCTAGGGGCCGTCCTGTATGCACATCCCAAACACCAGCGTCCCAGGCACATGTGGCCATATCTGACTTATACAGGATGCTGGGGATTCAAACTCAAGTCCTCAGGCTGTGCACCAGGTGCTCTACCCACAGTCTGTCTGCAGCCCTGATATTTTGGTTTTGATTTACTCTGGGGGGGGGGGGACAGGGTCTCCCTGTAGACCCAGCTGTCCTGGAACTCACTAGATAGACCAGGCTGGCCTCAAACTCACAGAGATCTGCCTGCCTCTGCCTCCCAAGTGCTGGAACTACAGCCATGTGACCACCATGCCTGGCTGTTTTTTATTTACTTTTATTTTATTTTATGTACATGGGTGTTTTGCCTGCATGTATGTAAGTATACTGTATGTGTGCAATGCCCAAGGAAGCCAGAAGAGGGTGTTGAATCCCTGGAACTGGAGCTACTGATGGCTCTTAGTCACCATGTGATGTTGGGAACCAAACCTAGGTTCTCTGCAAGAGCAGCCAGTGCTCTTAACTGCTGAACCATCTCTCCAGACCCTTTTCATTTTTTTGAGAAATGGTCTCATTTAACCCAGGGTGGCCTAGAACTCACTATGTAGTGAACTTGAACTCCTTGAACTCCTGATCCTCCTACCTCTCTACCTCCTGAGTGCTGAAAAGACAGTCATGTGGCACCTAATTTATGGGGCACTAGGGATTGACCTAGGGCCTCATGTATGCTAGGCCAAGCGCTCTACACACTGAGCCTCTGGGCTTCAGTTTTTGAGTAGACGGTTTCCCAGTGTGTAGGGGTGCTGTCCAGCTTGCTCCTGTCCCCACAGGGAAGAACACTGGTAGACCAGGTAGGAAAATGATGGGGCACCTCCCAGTCTAACAGACTCCCAGATCAGGCTGCACCAAGCAGGAATGAACTCAAAAACCAACTCACCCAAGACTTTGAAAAACTCAATTCAGAACTGTGGGTGATAGTGCACACCTTCAATCCCAGCACTCAGGAGACAAGAATGGGCGGATCTCTGTGAGTTCAAGGCCAGCCTGGTCTACACAGTGAGTTCCAGGACAGCTGGGGCTACAGGGAGACCCTGTCTCAAAAAAGACAAAAAATAATAATAATAATAATAATCCAAAACAAAAATTTAAAAATCATTTCATAACTTTTAAGTTGCTTTTTCTGCACTGGGTTCCCTGTCACTGTGTGGGGCTCCAGCGCAGGGACACTGCCCCATCACTGTTCAGAAGTGAGTCATCCCGAGTCTATCAAAGCTACAGGATGAGACACAGGATGGGGTGTCTATGCCCCTCCATAGGTACAGGGCTGGGAGCTGCACAGGGTGGGCACATGGTGCCAAGGTGGTCACAGGCAGCTCATGTCCTCCCTGGATGACAACTGCAGACTTGGAAGGGCAGGGAGACTTGGGATACAGGGCGAGCAGCCTAGGGGACCCTGCATAACATCTGGGGATACACATTGCTTGCGTGGCATGAGTGGCAGCCAGCTACCACTTGGCACCCTGCAGGGCCCTGACTGCCGACCCCAGAGGCAGCCTGGCCAAGGTGGGGGGCGGGGACAGTCCACCCTGGCCTCCTGCTCTTGCCCTTGACCCTCTCAGGGGTGTGCTCAGCCCCTCTACAGGGCAGGGGCAGACAGATCAGGAGAGGCACCTGCCTGGAGGAGGAGCCTCAACTCAGCCTCCAGGCCTCCCACATCTGGCAGGACAGGGCACAGAGGCCAGAACTCCAAGGATGTCACCAAGAACCCAGGGACACTGAACTCCGGCCAACCCTCCTCTTCTGTCTAGTTCTAAAGCATAGCAGTGGCCCAGGCTCTGAGGCCCCTCGAGACAGGGACAACCCTGTGACAAGTCTCTCTGGAGCCCACCATCTGCCAGTGTGACCTGTGGCCAGTCTGCTCCCCTACCCCCTCCCAGCAGGCCTGACCTTGGCTCTGAGCAAGTGAGATGCCCAAGGCCAGGCAACCTCCAGAAGCAGAGAAGAGCCACTTAGAAGCGGCCTGTCCCTGACCATGGCCTCCTAGGATCCAGGGCCTGGGGCAGCATCTTCCCCACCAACAGTGAGCCCCAAGCTAGGGAGTGATAGCTGGTCCTGCCTGAAGCTGACATGCCAGGTGACTCCCCACAGGTGTCATGTGGCACAGGGACAGATGGCCAGGGTTGGGAGTCCCAGGGATGGGGGGGAGGCACAGAACAAGGAGGCCAAGAGCAGCACAGCAGGGACAGAGGACTCCCAGGCTAGATCAAAGTTGGGAGGATGGAGGGGTCCTCCAGGAATGGGAAAGGACAGAGACCCCTCAGAGCTCCGGGATGTCACCTGCCCAAGGAGGAAAGGCTTAGTCCACTCCCCAAGGAGGAAAGGATTAGAAAACTCAAAACACTAAGACCTGCACATGCCTGGCTCTGCACATGCACAATGACAGGCGCATATGGATCCACTCAGGCACACAGGGCACCCACATCGGAACATTTCCACTAATATCAAAACATCCTTAGGGAACTTTGTACAACCTGACCTCACCAATTCCCACCCTCCCTGGCTGTAAAAGTCCTGCCAGGAGTCCCTGGTGGCCAGGGAGAACAGGGAAACTCACCAGTACCCTGCTTAGCCATCCAGCAAGTTTAGACACCCAGCACCCAGAGGGTTTGGAGACAGAGGTGAAGATGACAGACCAGACGGCGGGGGCAGGAGTGGTAAGAAAAGGCTGGTCCTGTCTGGGGACACGCCCTCCCACTGGCTCTGAACACAGCTATTATTGGAGATTTAAGGGAGTGATTAGCGATTTCCTGGCGGGGATCAAAACCCCCAAAGACCCAAGTAATGAGCACATTTTGAGGTGAGAGCTGGGGAGGGAGGGAATCAGATACACAACTATTAGGACAGAGGTGGCTGGGGATTTCCCCATTTTCTTTATATTTCAGGATCCCTGGGCTCCACCAGGCTGAGCCTCCCTCTGGCTAGTTTTTGCAACTTGGCAAACAGTTTCCAGGGTGTTGCTGAATTCTTAAAACAATCCCATCTCTTCTGCCCCCAATCAGACAGATGGGGGGGGACTGTAAGGCTCCAGAGATGCCAAAAGCTCTCCAGTTAAACTATCAGATCTTCAAGTCTGGACCCAAGTGGACAGGGAACCCCCATTTCCACCTGGCTTACCGCACCCCTCAGCACCCGATAGAAAGACACTCGTCTCCCGCTGTCCCCAGCTTTGGGGAAGGAAAACGGAGGTGATAGTGTATTAGGGTGCACCCTGGACGATTGTCCACGCGAGAAACTGCACAATTCACGGCTTCCAGGAGAGACAAGGGACGGGTGCAAAGAGCTGCCTTTACAGCAGCAAAGACATGCAGTTTTTTAAACTGAAAAATATGCAGATCACACACTGATTTAAGAGCTCCTGGAACACGAGGGGGGTCAAGTTTTAGAAGACACGATGGATGCTATTTGGAACGGGTTAGCATGGGGGGAATCCCCTAAAAGGATTCAAAATGCAAACGGGGGGCAGCAAGGGTTTGGGCCTTTTTTTCTTCTTTTTCAGGATTCGGGGGTGCTAAAGCGATGACTGCACGGTGCCACCCACGCTGTCATCTTTTGTGCCCCGGGAAAAGGGGCCGCGGCGCCCCGCCCCCGCCCCGCCTTTGTCCGGCCCCATCGTTTCCCCCCAACACACACAGAAACCTTCCTTTGCAGTGCATGTAATCGTTTTGTCGATCAACAAACAACCGCTGCGCCGATCGGACAAAAGCGTCGCGCTCCCCCCCTCCCCCTCTCACCCCGGAGCAGCTGACTAGGCCGCAGCCGAAGCCTCGGTCTCGAGTGCGCGTGGTGGCCGCCAGGCGAGCGCGGGGCTCAGCCATGGCGGCCGCGGAGGCCACCCGGAGCGGCCTGAAGGATCCGCAGCTCCGAAGACAGCCGCCGACCCACCTGGCGCGGCGCGCGCGACCCCGAGAGCGGACAGCGGGCTGAGTAGCGCGTGCTTCGCCGTCTCGGCGTCGCCCCGCCGGGCCTCCCTCGCTCGCTCGGGCCGCTCGACTGCTGCCTTCGCCCGGTTCGCTCGTTCGTTCGCTCGCTCGCTTGCAGCCGAGCCCTCAGCGAGCGCCTCCAGCGGGGAGGGCGAAAGCTTGTGAGGGGAGGTGCGACAGCTCCTTGTCGTCCGCAATTGGTCAGCGAGCCCACGCCCGCACGCTGATTGGTGCAAGCTGACAGCTCCGCCCCTCCCATCATCAACACCAGCGGGGCCCCGCCCTCTTTGAGCGGGGGGGGGGGGGCCGCAGGCGCACGACCTCTCCCCGCCCATTGGTCCAACGAAGAGGACACGCCAGCACCTATTTACGTGCCTGCTGACCGGCACGATTCTCACTGGATAGTTCTCACGCCCGTCAAAAAGGGCACAATCAATCCGAAAGCGATTAAGTCTCGGATTGACAGAAGCGCCCGCAGATTGACAAGAGCACTCAGGAACCGCCCCGCGACCCCACTCGGGAAAATCGGACTGGTTCATGGGATCGGCCTCTGAGCGCCGATTGGTTAAGGGTAGATGTCAATCACTGTCGTGCTCACTCCGGGCCCCGCCCTGGTTATCAGGCCGCGGCTGTGTACGTGAGATCCCGCACAACATCAGCACTCACCCGCCTACTTTCTGAGACAGGAAGCAACCGGGGTTCGAGACCCAGAACTGGAATTTGAACGCAGCTTTGCAAAGGACCGAATTAGGACATAGAAGACCCCCAAAACGTTGCTATTTTGTGCTCCCTGGGGTTCCCTGAAACGTGCTCAGCTGAGACCAGGTTTATGGGGAAATTACTTCACTGGGCCTCCCTCTCCCTGTGTACTGGATTTTTTTAAAGTGGTGCCCACGGAAACGTTGCAAGAATTAGGGAGAAATGTTCATTTCTCAACTCAAGTGCCCTTTGAGAAATGAATTATTTGGATTTTAATTTCCAACTCAGCATTTTGTAAATTGGTGGACTGGAAACCGGGAATTCCTGGTCTGGGTGTCAACCCCCCTCCTCACGGCTTTAGAATCACAAAACAATGAAGTCTGTAATCATCACCAACAATTTTTATTGTTTTGTGGAAGTCAGGAGAATAATTTGCACAAGTTGGTTCTCTCTTTTCATCTTGGGGGTTCCAAAGATCGAAGTCAGGTCATCAGACCTGACTACAAGCTCCTTTACCAACTGAGCTATCTCCCCCAGCCCTCCATCACTATTTCTTGTGGAATGGAGGTGGAACTGAGGGCATGCTTCTGGTTTGGGGGCAAAACAAGAAATCCTGTAATTTTTTATATTGCATAATACGGAGAAATCATCTTTTACGGGAAAATTTCAAATTTTAAGGAGAAACTCTTCAAGCAATGCATTATTTATTAAAGAGCCCAGGGGTCTGGGGATGGGGTTATGAGTTCATATAAACCCCATTAAATAGAAGCTGCCCCATTTTCAAAAGGAGCATAAAACAGGTGCATGTATCCAACCCCAAAGGGAGCCAGCACCCTCTTCAGATCACATCAGAGCATTCATAAGCATCTGGTCAAGAGAAACCAACTTTAAATTGCCCTGCAGCTCTGAATTCTGTAGCTACCAGGGTTTTGTCCAGTGGGCGGGACTTGCATAGATTATTCAAAGCACTGGAACTAAATTGTTTCCTTGATCTTTTTTTTTAAATAAATTTTCTATTTTTAATTTGGTCTTTTTGAGACAGGGTCTCCCTGTAGCCCCAGCTGTCCTAGAACTCACTATGTAGACCAGGCTGGCCTTGAACTCAGAGATCCGCCTGCCTCTGCCTCCTGAGTGCTGGAATTAAAGGCATGTGCCACCATGCCGGCTGATCTTATTTTTATGTGTATGAGTGTATTGCCTGCAGGTAGGTAGGTGCACCCATGTGGTTCAATGCCCTAGGAGGTCAGAAGAGGATTTTGAATTCCCCTGGAACTGGAGTTATGGATAGTTGTTAGCTGCCATGTGGATACTGGGAATCAAGGTCCTCTACAAGAGCAGCCAGTACACTTAACCACTGAGCCAGTTCTCCAGCCCCTCCCTTTGATCTTAAATGTGTTCATTTGTAAAGTAAATGCCTGGTGTATAGCACACACCCACCATCCCAGCAGGGTGACCAGAGGATCAGTTCAAGGTCATCCTCCCTTACGTAGTGATTGAGGCCAGCCTGTGCTACAGGAGGCCCTGTGGAAGGGAGGGAGGGGAGGAAGAAAGGTTGGTCCTGAGCAAGCTAGGTGACTCAGTGGATTTTATTTGTATTTATATTTTATGTGTATGTATTTCCTGCATGTAGGTAAGTGTACCCAAGTCATGCAATGCCTGCAGAAGTCAGAAGAGGCTGTCAGATTCCCTGGGACTGGAGTTACAGACAGTTGTTTGCTACCATGTGGGTTCTGGGATTCAAACCCGGGTCTTCTGCAAAAAGTGTTCTTAACTGCTGAGCCATCTCTCCAGCCCCAGTGGATGTTATTTTTAAAATTAAAAATAAGCTGAGTGTGAGCCAGGCATGGTGGCGCATGCCTTTAGTCCTAACACTTGAGAGGCAGAGGCAGGCAGATCTCTAAGTTCAAAGCCACCCTGGTGTACATAGTGAGTTCCAGGCCAGTTGGGGCTACTGGGAGACACTATCTCAAAAAACATCAAAAATTAATAAGCTGAGTGTGGTGGCACACACCTTTGGTTGCAGCATTAATGAGGCAAAGGCAAGTGGATCTCCATGGGCTCAAGGCCAGCCAGGTTTACAGAGGTCCCCTGGGCTGGGGCTACAGGGAGACCCTGTCTCAAAAGGAAGAAATAACATTAAACAGTACCACCCTTGGCTTGTAACCTCCTGCCACCCTTGGTCCCCAAATTTGTTTGGGGCAAGGCAGCCCTTTCTGACCTAATGTGGTTGGTGACATGCTTACAACTTGCTTGTCTGCACGTGAGCAATGCCCCAGCAGGACATAGGTCTGGACCCCCCCACCCCACACCAGCCCCAGGAGGCAGGTAGGAGAGCCTGAAGTGCTGGGTTCCCACATGGGTGACAGGGATTTGGGTCTCCAGAGTCTGCACTTGCTGTCTTTCCCCATAGACCTTAAACATACACCCCCAGAATATTCTAGAACAGGCCAGGAACCTGCCTGTCAAGGGCCAGATGGCAGTGTTCTCAGCTTTGAGGACTTCAGTGGTTTCTCTCAGACCTACTGGATTCTGCTGGCCACATACGCCAGTTTGATGGCTGTGGTCGCGTCAGTAAAACTTTACAAAAATCAAAGCAGGGCCAGCTTGTGCCCTGGCCCACTACTGCCTTATCAGGGCGTTTTCTCATCTGCCTCACCTCTCGCCCCCAGTGCTTAGGAAGAGCATCATCAAGCAAAAACATACTGAAGGGGATGGAACACCGGCACGGTGGCTAAGACATGCATGGGTGCACTTACATACATGCAGACAGAACACTCATACACATGAAGTAAAAAATAAAATTTTGGGTTGTTTTTTTTTTTTTGAAACAGGTCTCCCTGTAGCCCTGGCTGCCCTGGAACTCACTATGTGGACCAGGCTGCCCTTGAACTCAGATCTGCCTGCCTCTGCCTCCGAGTGCTGGAATCAAAGGTGGACGCCACCACACCTGGCACAAATTTTGTTTTTAGAGAAACAACTCTTCAAATATATCTGCGAAATAACATTTATTCTGAGAATCTAAAACCTGCACAAAGAATATTGAACTTTAGAAAACATCTATAGACAGTTTTGTTGTTTCCCCCCTAATGTTTACAATCCTACAAAGAAAAAAATATGGCCCTTTTAAAACAGTGCGCCCCAGACTGCGCAGCTATGTGGCTCAGTCTCCCTGTTCCGCTGAGGTATTGCTACAAACTTTGGTAAGTTAGAAAAAAAAAAATGCAACAAAAGCCAACGAATGAAAAGCAAACCGCAAGGTTCCATCTCACACACAAACTACAAGAAAAATTCATTTCAAAAAAGCATTCATTTGATTTAACAAAAACAACTTGTAATTCTCAAATTGCTGAGTTTAAAAAAAAAAAAAAAAAAAATTGGAACTAAATCAATGCAACTTAAACCTCCACAATTCCAGCCAAGGTGGGACACCTGGACAGCCAGTTTCCTAGCCAGGTTTCCAAATTTGTTCGGCATTCAGTGCTGAAGACAGTGAGCCCAGTCTACAGAGAGATGCAGCCACCCAAAGGCACTTGACCAGCTTCTGCTTGTTGGGTCCCCTGGCCTGTCCCACGTGCAGCCCTCACGAGAGTCCAGTCCCGCTGAGGTAGTGTCGGCTGCGCCACAGGGACAGAGGCATGAGAGGAAATGGCGGAGGCCAGGGCTGAAGCTGGGCTGGGGCTGTCCACGTCTCCCTGAGGACAGCTCTCAGGAGGATGTGCCCAGCTTTGACCTCAAAGAGGCCAAGGTCACAGACTGTTACGGATTGTTCTAAACTGTTCTAGGCAGCCAGACAGCTGGCTAGCTGGTCGGCAGTGGGGACTTCTGAAAGCTGACTTTAAGGTCCAGTCCATGGCCCAAGGTTTCTAACTCCATCTTCCAAAAGAAAAAATAGTCATGGAGAATTTTCTGTCTTGCAGATCAATTGCAGGCTTTGTATAAACAAAGAAAAATGAAACAAAAACCAAAAAAAACCGAGAGTCCAATTGGTACCCAGAACATGAGCATTCCTGGGGATGTCAGATTAACTGAGAACCAGGGAGGATGGTGTCTTGAGGGAGGAAGAACTATGTGTTTTTAAGTTAAACCCACTAAAAAAACCAATGGTGAACAATGGGCTTCTGTCTGGCTTTGGGGATCACCGGCCGTTGCCGTAGCCCGGGAAGAGCTGGTTGAGGATGGCCTGCAGAGGCTGGTTCACGCGTGTGGCGTAGCTGCGACCCAGGTCATAGCGACAGGCAGGGCAGCTGAATACCTGTGCCCGGAAGGACCTGTCCAGACAATCCTGAAAGGCAAGGGCCTGATGGTGACTCAGGGGTCCCTCCTGACCCTCAGGCCTGTTTTCTAGCCCTCAGAGATGCCAAGCTCCCTCCGACCTCCAGGCCTTCCCGACTGCAGAAGCAGGTGGGGTCCCAGAGTGTGGGGACCTGAGGTCTCAAGTCCTTAGGCCCCAAGAGCGTAGACCGGGAATGGGTAGAATAAGGGAACAAGGCCACGTTTTCCAGAACCTTCACCTGGTGCCCTCACCTTGCACACATTGTGTTGGCACACGGTGGTGACAGGCCGGAACACCAGCTCCTGGCAACAGATGCATTGGAAGGCCTCCTCCACCTTGCTCAGGAAGACCTGGAACTAAGGACAGGCAGGAAGCCGAGTGACCTGAGGCCCCAACCCCACACCCAGCAGCTTCTCCTGGACGGATGGACGGAAGGGGAAAAAGACATGTAGGTGGACAGGGAGGCAGGCGAGAGGGGGGATGGACAGGCAGATGGGCAGACAGGCAGGCAAACAGATTGATGGATGGGCACACATCCCTGTGGTTGTCAGGCTGTACTGAACAAGGGGCAGGTAAAAGCATGTGGGGTCCTGGCCTGTGAGTAGGGTGTGGGTCTGACCCTGCCCCAGGACACAGCCCCACAGCCAGGTACCACCTCATTTCTGTGGTGACAGAGGAGCCCCTGCAGTGAAGACTCCTCATGTGCACACAAGGTGGTTTCCTGAAGAGGGCCACCCCTAGGACACTGAAGTCACTGGCAGGAGGGCCTAGCAGGGACATTTGAGTGGCACAAAAGCAGCCCATGCAACCCTGGACGGACAGACAGCTGTGAGAAATCAGTCTATCCACACAGTACTATTACTCAGCTAGGAAAAGGAAAGGCATTCTCACACCAGTGTTGAGCCCCCCGACACAATGCTCAGACACAATACACACACTGCAGGCTCTACTCCCAGAAGCCGGGTCCAGGAAGGGGCAGGGGGAACATCGTGGAACGGGACAAAAGGTTTGGGACTCTTAACCCACCGGACCATCCTGGAGGGACTTGAGCACTTCGTTCCACAGCTTGGCATTGGTCTTGTCATCCTTGATAAGACTGTGCTGCTGCGGGGGCAGGGTGTGCGGCTCCAGCTTTGTCTTCTTAGATGTACGCATGGCTGGGCTGCCCTGGCCTGGGGGACAGAGCGAGGCTGTGAGGACACACAGCACCCAGGGGCGGTACAAGGGGCAGTGCCGCCAGGCTGCGCACCCACCTGCACACTTCCGCTTCCACTTGCCCTTCTCAGGTGTCGAGGGGTCAGCAGGCTCCTGCTGCAAGGCCTTGGAATGTTTCCCAGTCCCCTTCTCCTTGTTGGCCAGGGCTTCCAGGTAGCCTTCAGGGTACTGTGGGGATGGGACAGGAGGGGAGTGAGCCGGGACCCCACCCTGCATACCTGGTGGCCCAGCACATGGGAGGTGTAGGCAAAAGGATTAGGAGTTCAGGGCCATCCTGAGCTATAGCAAGTCTGAGACCAGCCCGGGCTCCATGAGACCCTATGGCTCGATCAGTAAATAAAGGAGAGGCCCAAATAAAAATAATAAAAGAGCTCCAGGCCAGCTGGGGCTACAGGGAGACCTGTCACAATCAATCAAGAGCCTGGTGTGGTGGCGCACGCCTTTAAACTCAGCACTCAAGAGGCAGAGGCAGGTGGCTCTCTATGAATTTCAGGCCAGCCTGGTCTACATAGTGACTTCCAAACCAGCTGGGGCTACAGGGAGACCTGTGTCACAAGACCAAAGAAAAACCGAAACTCCTTAAGTGTCCGGTCATGTGTGCCCTTTTTTGCAATCAGCTTGGAGCTTATTCAGTGCCAGTTCAGGGAATGTTCCCCCTGGGAAGACAAAAGCAGCCCAGGGACCTTCAGGCCTATGGGCCTATCTGCCTGTCCCCACTGCTTCCTGGGGCTTCTAGGAGCTTCTCAGCTGATGATACCAGGGATGGAGGTCAGGAATAGGCAGCCGGCAGAACAATCTGGGGGTGTAGGCACCCACTCTTAACCAGGAGTTTCCTTACTTTGAGTCAAGGCTTAATGTAGCACAGGCTGGTCTCCTACTCCCTATATAGCCAAAGATAACCCCAAACTCCTGATCCTTCTGCCTCACCTCCCCAGTGCTGGGTGACAGGTGTATGACACCACACCTGGTTTATGGGGTGCTTGGGATGGACCCAGGACCTTGTGTGTGTTGGTTGGGCTCCTCCCACCAAACCCCAAGCCCCCTACTCCTACTTCTATACAGAGTCTCTCTACGTAGACCAGGCTGGCCTCCAATTCGCACCCTCCATGGGCTGCATCACAGACCACAGGGACCTGAGTGTGGTAGCAGGAAGGTGCTGGGCACCACATGCAAGGCCCTCCCTTCCCCAGCTTCCCGTGCCAGGCTTGTGGTCCCCGAACCTGCATGGTGAGCCCCAGCTTCCTGATGCGTTCCTTCCCCTCACGTGTCCAGGGCCCCGGCTCATCGTCATCCCGTCTCAGGAGGTAGCGCCACACAAGGAAGCCAGACTTGCCCTTCTCCGGCCAGTACTTTACCACCTGTGGAGTCAGAGCCACAGGGGACTGTGATACGGGGAAGCAGGGGACATGGGGGACCATGACACGGAGATGCAGGAGACACAGGGAATCGAGAGTCATGGGAGACTGTGACATGGGACCACGAAGGACTATGACACAGGGACACCACGCCACGTGGATACTGTGAGCTATAGGTACTATGACATGAGCATTGTGACCCCCAGGGACTTTGGCAGATGGGTACCATGTGTGTGCAGGGCTGCAGCAGGGATGCTGGCTCACCTTGTAGATGCCGTCATAGCGGTTGCCCTCGGCCGGTGCATACTTGCTGTGTTTCCCGCCCTTCATGTTGCGCACCACACGTACTGGTTTCCCAGAGCGCCAGTCCTTGGCCTCTGCCCCTTCCCGGTCGTTGATTGGGGCACTGCAGTTGAGTGCCAGTGCCCTGTGGGCAGACAGGTGGGGTCACATCCCAGCACCTAGAAACACACCTGGCCCTCTTCACCAAAGGGTACTGAGGCAGGTAGGTGGCACATGCTGGAGCCAGGCCAAATGCTGCCAATGAACCTCAGGCTCTGAAGGTCCCAAAAGGCCGGGTGTGGAAGGCCTGGTCCCCACTGGAAAGCTAGATCATTACGCCTGGTTCTAGGAGTGTGTGACTTCCTCCCATGTTCACAGCGGCCACATATTCACACCACATGCACCCCCTAGTGGAGGCCTCAAAGCAAAGGGGCCCATCCATGTCTACACTGAACCAAGAAACCTTTTTCCTATCACAACCTGACAGCCCTGACTGTAACTAAATGCATTCTTCTACACAGTGAGTTCCAGGCCAACTGTGGCTACAGGAAGCCCTGTCTTAAAAATTTCACAAGGTCTCAAGTCTTCAGCCACTAGGAGCTGCGGCCAGAGTGTGAGCACAGCCATGTCTATACTGACCTGTTGGTGTTGGTCAGTTTCTGGTCACAGGACTGTTCTGCTGTCCGCTTGTTACCAGAAAGGTCTCTGCCGCCACTGCCCGTGTATGTGAAGAAATTCCCGTGGTCCTGTAACAGGCGAAGTGCCGTGTGACCCCTTTGCATGGAGACAAGGGACAAGAAGCCAAAGAGCCCCCAACACAACACCTACAACAAAGGCACTTGAGGCCTCAGACTTGAGTGCTGCCCGCTGCCGAAATGAGGCAGCGGTTCACCAAATTAGACACAGTTAACAACTGTGCTTCTGCAGACACGGGATTGAAACGAGCAGAGCCATTCAGACACCACAGGCAGCAGCCTGAGGACGGAGCAAAGTGCACTGTCAAAAGACACGCGGACTGAGGCCCGGCTCTGTGGCGGGATGTTACTCCGTCCTGGGAAGTTTCAGGCACCTGCTCCAACATGGATGGGCCACGTAGGCATGGTGTTCCGTGACACAAGGCAAAACACAGGACACACAACCCAGGGTCCGGTTCCGAGAGAGCCACAGACAGGAAGTGGGATGGAATTAGTGTGGGATAAGAACAGAGCTTGATGTGAATAAAAGGTTCTGGAGATGGATGGTATGGATGGATGCAGTCACGGAGCTTTCTGCTGCGGAACCCTAAGGATCCCCCTCAACTGAGAGGGCGTTATGAACCCCCATGGCCACCCAGGGGTGCTGAATTTCACTCTGCCACGCTCTAAGAGCCCACCCTACTTCTAAGCAGCCATGTGCTGCACGCAGAGAAAGACCAGCCAGTTGCCTCCCTGGCTGGGGCTCACGTCACTTGTCCCTAGCTTCTACAGCACCTGCTTTACTCCTGGGAAATCAAAGCCTGGTACGTTTGTGCTCAAAGCAAGTTAAGTGTCACCTGAACATGGCAACAGCTAAGACAGCACCAGGCAGCAGCAGGAAGACAGTGCCCAGTGAGGAAACGCTAGCAAGTCAGGACGGAAAAACAGGTAGAGACTCCCGAGGCCACTCAGGGCTCAGGCTCGGACAGACGTGAATCCCAACCATGGTGTGGGCGGAAATCAGACTGGAAAGCCACACTGTGGCTGGTGGAGGACCAGGTATGTCATTGTCCCTGTGACTTTGGAGTTGACAGGTCGCCAGTGCCCACACTCACCACGTCATCCTCATAGCCACCTGCCAACACGAGTGAGTAGGCGCCATCATTGCTACGGCCGTGGATGCCCGCCACGTGGGGCCGATGCACACCTGACTCGCTGACCTACGAGAGCCACAGGCACGCTCAGGAACTCCTGCCACAACTGCCACCCAGCCCTAGCTTCCCAGGGGACGATTGACAACCAGGGCACCCCTGGCCTATGCCCACTGTGACACAGGGTGGCAGGGAGAACCCTACTCAGTGTTTCCCTGCCTGAGTCACATGAAGGAACCGCCAATGTGCTCCAAACGGAAGCTATGAGGGGTTAGTAGGTACCTGGACTCGGAAACGCCACATGGTACCCACAGGGACACCGGGGATCGGCCCATAGTGGTTGGAGGGGACGATGGTACACTCCTTAGTACGGCCTACGCACGCCATGCCCTGCCGCGGAAAGGGGTGCATGAGTGGAAGGCGGTGTAGGGTGTAGGGGGAAAGGAGTGCTCAAAGGGAAAGGGGGATGCGAGTGCTGGAGCAGAGGGCAGATGGGGGATGGGAGACTGGACAGTGACAGGACCGGGAAGCAAGAGGATGGAGGGAGGACAAGATACGGATGGGGATGCAGGACTTCGGTGAGGAGGGGACACAGGGATGGAAGGGCATCAGGGAGATGGAAGAGAGAAGAACAGGATACAGTAGGAGGTGGGGGTGGGGGCAGAGACGGGACACAGGAAGGGGACAGGAGGGATGCCATACTTTGCCCCAGTCCCGCTGGGAGGACGAGGTGGCAGACGCCATCTTGGCCTTCTTCTTGCTCTTTCTGAGCCTCTCCCCGGCCTGAACCACCTCACTGGAATCAATCCGGCAACCAGGGCAGTACCTGCGCAACAGGGCCGTCACCTCCTGCACATGGCCCAGGAGCACCCAGCCCATGTGCAGCAGGACAGATGGCAACACCTTCCCCATGTTCACCCAGGTTGGACACAGTCTCGAGTCCCAGGAAACATACTGGGCTAGAGCATACCCACTGTTGTGAAATAGTCTATGGTACACGGGCTGGTGAAATGTCTCAGAGGGTAAAAGGCCTGACCCGAGTTTGAGCTATGGGACCCATATGGTAGAAGTAGAGAACCAACTCCCAAATGTTCACACATACACAATCACATGTAATGAATTTTTTTGCTGGGCATGGTGGCGCATGCCTTTGATCCCAGCACTGGGAGGCAGAGGCAGGTGGGTCTCTGTGAGTTCAAGGCCAGCCTGGTCTACATAGTGAGTTCCAGGACAGCTGGGGCTACAGGGAGACCCTGACTCAAAAAGAACTCCCCCCCCAAAAAAATTTTTTAAAGAATACCACAGAACTACAGCCCCATCAGTTTAGTTTTGAAGCAGAAATAGAAATTCCAAAGGCAGGCAAGGCACGCACACGTAACCCCAGCACTCAGAAGGCTAGGGGATGGTACTTGGCAGGACTGCTGCCAAGTTGAAGCCAGACTGGGAACAGAATCAGATGCTGCCTAAGAAACTTGCTGAAAAAAAAACAAGAAAAGCCAGGCGTGGTAGCACATGCCTTTAATACCAGCACTCCAGAGGCAGAGGCAGGTGAAGCTCCCCGAGATCGAGGCCAGCCTGGTCTACATAGTGAGTTCCAGGCCAGATGGGGCTACAGATAAACCCTGTCTCTAAAATAAAAAGTAAAACCAAACAAAAGGAAAAGCCCACTGTGAGGGTAGGGACACAGGGCCATTTGACAATGACTTTTCTCTGTTGGAGCCTCAGTTTCCCCATCTGCACAGGGTTGGGCAGACTGAGAACAGGGCTTCTCTGCCCACAAGAGAAGATTCAGTCAACTCAGGCAGGTCAGAACCTCCCCCAGTTGATAACACTAGAGGGTAAGGAGTCCAGTTCTGCTTTTCCAGGTCCCCTGAGGTACACTCCCCAAGTGGTAGCCACCAAACTCAATGACATGGCAGGTTTTTTTTTTTTTTTTTGAGCACAGGAGGGCATCAGGCCAGGTCCTCCTGCCTCTGACACCCAAAGCCCTTGGCTTACAGGAAGGAGCATGTGCAGCCACAGGGGATTTGGGAACAGGGATTTGAACTCAGGAACTCATATTTGTGCCACAAGACATCTTACCCGCTGAGCTGGCTTGCTGTGGGGCTTTTGGTTGTTACTGAGATAACCCGTGTCTGACCCCAGCAGCCACTCACCACTCAGGCTCAGTGGGGACGCTGCTTAGCTTGGGCTCCAGGCAGTAGAGGTGGAAGGCCAGGTCACACTCATCACACAGCAGCTGCTTGTCGGGGGCCTCACGCTGGCCACACACGTGGCAAGCGCACTTGCGACACAGCTTGCTTTCGTCGTCTTTGCAGTAGCGGCAGGATGGGCCACTCTTCCCTGTGTGCCGGAGGGCAGGAGGGGCTGCAGCAGGCCACCATGCCACCAGGGGGGAACCGCCCCCCAACCCTGGGCACAGAGACAGAGACTGGGGACTCACGTCGCGAGGGGCTGGCAATCAGAGGGCTCCCCTCGCCTGGGCGCTCGATCTTGAAGACTTCATCCACAAAAACGATCCGACAGTCCTTGAGGTAGGAGCCGCCCCTGTGGGAGAACATCCCAGAAGGTTAGAACACTGCAGTCCAGCCTGTGATCCCTAGTACTCAGGAGGCTGGAGGACATCTTGAGTCCAGGCTCTGGTCTGTGTTTGTAATGTGGGCATCTGTATGCCAAGCGTTACCTCTGTGACCAGCCTCACTTCCTGACCTACTTGGGGTCTCTGTTCATGGCTGCCCATAGGCTTCCAGAACTCTCCTACCTCCACCGCTACCTCCCTGCTGGAGCCCTGAGATGGCAGATGCACTCCTCGGCGCATGGCTTTTATATGGGTGCCAGGGATTCGAACTCAGGTCCTCACATTTGTACAGCAAGCACTTGTACCCACTGAGCCCTCTTGCCAGCCCTAGCCCAGGAGTCTGAAGACAACCTGGCAACTTAGCCAGACCCTGCCCCCACCCCCAAAAGCCAGATGCCCTGGGGACACAAACACAACCACACACAGAGCAGCCATGCCCCTGCTGGCAGAGCTCAGGGGCCGACTCTCATGCACACCCTCCTGTAGCTCAGGATAACGTATGGGAGAGCACACGTAAGAGTCCAGAAAGCCAAGTCTGATGGCCTCCAGGCTGATGTGGGGACAAAAGGACATCAGGGGCACGCCACTCACGCCAGTGTGACATTGGCATACAGCTCCCGTGCCGTCCTGGTCTGGCGCTTCCTGCGGATCTCAGCATCATACCAGAAGCCACGGTTCTTAGGGAAGTCCACGTTGTAGTTGACCATGACCACCTGGCCCACCTCCAGCTCCTGCCATGGCAGGACAGTGCGAGCTCGGGCTCGGATATCCTTAGCATGGATGAACACCACACCATCCTCCGGGTAGCTATGAGCAAAGGCCACATTAGCACCACAGGGCCACTCCATGTGCTGTCAATTCAGCACGGGGAGCCACATCCCAGTGGTCCCAGTATCTGCCTGCTGTCCAGGTATGAGGCCACGTAGCTATGAGACATGATGGGCCAGGGACATAGTCTTCAAAAGCAACTCATCCTTATCCCGGACAGAATGACACTATTAAATCAGGAGTGGGGTGGGGATGACCCCCAGGTCTTCATAATAGAGGGGACAGAGTGTGCAATGCAAATGTGGTGACAAGGCAGCCAGGCGCCCGGGAACCCCGAAGATGGCTGAACGCCCCCCCACCATAAGTAGCGGGAGGCAGAGGCAGGTCCCCCCAGAGACACTGAGAAGCCTTCATCTTGGACGGTGGCACCAGGAGAACCAGTCATATTGACCATTCAGAGTGGCACTTAGGGCCAGGCGTGGTGGCACACGCCTTTAATCCCAGCACTCGGGAGCCAGAGGCAGGCAGATCTCTGAGTTCGAGGCCAGCCTGGTCTACATAGCAGTTGGGACAGCTGGGACTACAGGGAGACCATCTCAAAAAGACCCCAAAAAAAAGAGTGGTACTTAGGGGACAGCAGCCAAGGGGACACACACGTTAGTGACTGGGCAGACAACATGTGCATAGACAATAGAATGGGCGTTAGGCTGAGCACAAGTCTCTATGTAGGTGTGCAGGAGCATTCTGCTAGCCACGGGAAAAAAACAAACCAAAGCTGTGAAAACCACACAATGCAGTGACATGGGTGCCAACACCCAACATCCACTCCTTCCCAACAAGTCACTAAGGGACTGAAGGGAAATACTCCCTTTGGCTCTGCTGCTATGGCCCATAGGCAGCTGCTAGCTGTGACTGGTGGCAATAAATCTTTATTGACAAAGCCAAGTACAGGGCTACAGTATGGTGATCTCAACCAGGACGTGAATTTTTGCCAGCTGTCCAGACAGGTGAGTGCGTGCTGCCTAGTTCTCTGACCCAAGTGGACAGTGGCCCTCCCTCCAGTCAGGGGCTACAGACAGAAGCCCTGGCATAACTGGGGAGCTTCAGAGCGAACTGATGATCAGTGAAGCCATTAGTGCAGAGGGCTTCCATCTGTAGGACTCTGGCCATATGAGGCCCCCCACAACCAAGGACACAGTTCCACCCAGCTTCCATGAACATTAGGAATGAATCTAGGATCCAGGACATGCCCCTTGAACCCAGTGACCTCAGGCTAGGGCCATCCCAGATGGGCTATGACCCCAGTCACGCATGTGGAAGCCTCACGTCCTTGAACCCAGTAACCTCAGGCTAGGGCCGTCCCGGATGAGCTGTGACCCCTTCACACATGCGGAACCCTCACGTCCTTGCCAGTGACACAGAAACAGGGATAGACTGAGGGGCTCAGCTCGTTCCTGGGGGTCCCACCAGCCACACCATCATCTTGGGAGGCTGAAAACGGGGTGAGCCTGGCAGGACTGTGGAACTTGGGCACTGGCCGTACAGACACTCACTCATCGTATTTGATGCGGTACATGATGGTGTCCTCTGGGGTCGGGCTGGCACTGGAGCTACAGGGCACATCCTGGCCAGGGGCCTTCCTCAGAGCCTGCACCACCTGGGCCTCAAACCAGGCACCCAGGTCATTGTCCCGGACGTCCACATACTCATTGACCTGTGAAGAGGCAGGGAAGCTCAAGGGACCTGGTGGCTGTGCAGAAGACCCCCCCCAGGCTGACAAGCTTGGGGTGTGGGGCCCAGCAGGACAGAGCTGCACTGGGCCTTCTGGGCCTCAGAGGCAGGCAGGTCTTGCTCTGCTGCCCAGCTGGCCTCCAACTTTCAATCCTCCTGCCTCAGCCTCAGTATAGAACAGCAGGCGTGGGTCCCATCCCTTGCCTTCCAGAGCACAGAGCACAGGGCTGCACCTTCTGAGGGGCATCCCAGGCCCTGCAGGGTACTGAGCAGCATCCCTGGCTTCCACAGAAGAACTCCACCAGCACAGCTGGCACATGTGTCCCCAGAGGTAAGAAGCCAAGACTTTGTGAACCGCAGGCCCCAGCAGGGTTTAACCCACCACAAAGAGGTCCAGGAACACCATTTGGCCTCCAGGTGCAGCAAGAGGCAGGGCTGGCCCCAGGCATGTAGGGTGAAGATGGGCATTGTGCAAACCTGAGGGGGTGAACCCCAGAAAGAGGATAATATCCTGCAACCCACAGTCATGGGGGACTCACCTTGTACAGCCCCAGTTCTGTCTCCTCCCACTCGACCTTCTCCCCTTCAGCTGACTCGCCATGTGTGGAGGACTTGTCCGACTCACTCTGGCCCAGGCAGCAGCCAGAGTCAGTGTCTGAGAGCTCCGAGTCGCGCTCCTTGGTGCTGGGAGGCAGTGCCAGGCTCTGGCGCACCAACAACTGGATTGTGTCATTGAGGCGCACGTCGTAGTCAAAGAGGGTGTGGCCATCCTCCATCTGTGGGGATGCCCAAGACAGACGAGGTTGGTCTGAGACCGGGTGGGCAGAGATTGGCGGAGTGGACAGTGGCCAGTCCCCTGATGTCCAAAGTCTGGGAAGGCTGGAGTGCCACACAAAGCAAAGACCAGAAGATTGCTCCTGGCACACCAAGCACCACCAGTCCACACTGCAGCCCTGGGATGCTCAGGTCACTAATGAGGGCAGTTGGTGGCACAGGCAATGTGGGCTGAGTGCAGACAATCCCACCACATTCCATGAGACTTGCTGGGCTAATACTAAGGAGAGTATTGGGGTTACAAAAAGGGTTTCACACACCCTAGGCTGACCTCTACATCCCAAGGGCTAGGAAGACAGGTAGAGGCCATGGGGCCCATTTTCTGTGGTGCTGAGGGACTCTCACACTGGACAGCTCCTGGCATAGAGTGGGCAGAGGCCAGGGCTACCACCTAGCACCCTGAAGGGCCCAAAACATCCCATGGTGCTCAGGGTTCCCACCCTATTTCCTTTCTAAAGCTTGGGCCATCTCCCACAGACCCTGTCGTTATATCTCTGGGGACAGGGCTGTGGCCAGTGTCAGGGGTAAATTTAGCAGGTGACCCCAGAGTTTGGGGTGTTAGCTCCCTCAGCCGCTCACCCATGTCCCCAGGGAGGCTGGAGACTGTCCAGCTGTGATATGCAGGTCCTGGCCTACCCTGATGGCAGAGCCACCTTGGGGAGGCCCTTCAGGAGGGGGAAGGGGTATGTCTGCCTCACAGGTCTGGTCAGGGTTCCTTTGTCATGCAAACAGGACCCCCAGATCCCTGGGGACAGGCCACACTTGGTAGGCCCCAGAGGACAATGCAGGAAAAGGGGGTTGGGGAGGGATTGTGGGGGGTTGTGGTAGGATGGAAGGGAGTGTTCCAAGAAAGGATGGGGGTAGGAAAGGGTGGGGGGAGGGGGATGGATGGATGGGAAGGATGGGGTTTACGGGAAAGACTGGGGAGTTATAGGAAAGAATCACGGGGTGGGGCCACTGGCTTTCAGGGAAGGATGGGGGAGTGTGGGAAAGGATGGAGAGACAACAGGAAGGATGGCAGGAACAGAAGGGTAAAGGACTGCGGGAACCAGCTAGGAAAAGGAAGGACTGTGGAAGGACTGCGGGAACCAGCTCTGGGACCAGGAAGGACTGCGGAAGGACTGCCCAGGACTGCGGGAGGGGAACCGGCTCTGGGAACGGGAAGGACTGCGGGAACCAGCTCCGTGGGAATGGGAAGGACTGCGGGAAACAGCTCCATGGGAATGGGAAGGACTGCGGGAATGGGAAGGACCTCGGGAACGGGAAGGACTTCGGGAACTTCAAGAAAGCCCGCGGGAACCCAGGGGGAACCCAGGTGGAACCGCAGGAACCCAGGAAGGACCTCGGGTCCTGCAGATACAAGGTAAGGATGCCAGGATGGACAGGGGTCTGCAGGAAGGCAGACACCCACATGCACATGCACAAGCTCTCTCTCTCTCTCTCTCTCTCTCTCTCTCTCTCTCTCATACACACACACACACACACACACACGCACGCACGCACGCACGCACGCACGCACACACACAGTATCTGTAATATGCACAGCTAAGCCAAGTCCTTCCACAAACAGCAATACATGCCTGTGTTCCATCTGCACACTGGAATATTACTCAGCCAAGAACAGGAGCACAGCTCGGACAGCAATGAAGACACCTGACCTGCACACACAATGTACATACAAACTAAAAAAAGAATTTAAGTACAAAGTGGTAGCTGGTAGTGGTAGCTAACTGGTCACTATGGACAGCCAGGATGAACAGCAACCAGGGTAGGCACCTGGACTATATCTGCTCACTTGCCTCAGACCTGCCAGATCCCTACCAGGCTGCCCGTACCTTGGAGTCACAGGCCTGCATGCATCAGGAGGGGAGCACTGTCTATTCCCTGTGCCACGGGGCCTGTAGAGATGGCAGAGGGCCCATGCAGGGCAGAAAGGGCTGGAACTAGCTTGGGGCAAGCTCATCAGCAACTCTAGCTACAGGCTGTAACTCACAAGGCCAGTCAGGCTACTTCCTGACAACACTTCTGGAACTCTCAGAAGGGCACCATGGAGCCCTTATGCAGGTAAAAACCTGCATAAGCATGTGGCAGGAACCAGTGGCAAGAGGAAGTGCCCCCCACCCACATCCCACTAGTCCAGCAGCTGGGAGAAAATTTCAGGGGGCAGAAGCACCAGGCCAGGCTCTGCTCACCCTCAGCATGGGCTAGCACATTGAGTGAGGCTGCCCCCCAAGTCCCTAAAATTCCACCTCAGGGCTAATGACTGAAGCTAGGGAAAGCTTGGAAACCCAGGTCAGCCACACCCAGCCTAGTTTCTAAGGTTAAAAATTAAACCCAAGCGGGGGCTCAGTGGGCAGAGTGATCACCAAACACGGAGGAAGCCCAGCACCCCAAAAACCAGGTGACATACACCTATCATCTTAGTACTCAGGAGGTGGAGGCAAGAGGATCAGGAGGCAGGGTCATCCTTGGCTACATTAAGAGTTTGGGGCCAGCTTGGCCTATGTAAGACCCTGTCTCAAAAAAGCAAAGGTGAATAGGATGGCTAAGCGGACAAAAACTCACTGGACCATCCTGAGCTATACCTGGGGAATCCCTAGCAGGAGACAACTAACTCCCGAAAAGCTGTCCTCTGACCTCCACACACATAACAACAAAATAAAACTCTGAGACAAGGCCTTGATCCTACAACCCCAGTAGCTAGGGGTGACAGAAGTCACCACCATGCTCAGCCATAAACTAAGAGGTGCTGCCAAGTCTATTCACCACGGAACCCAGGCAGGTGGGCTGTGAGGAAATTCCAAGGAGAAAGCAAGCTATGAATCTTCTAGAAACTTCTAGTATCTTCCGAGTATAGCCCACTTACATGCCTGTGTGCATGCATGCCTGCAGTAGGTTGGTTCCTGTGGCTATCAGCCACATACTGCAGCTCTTGGCCTGTCCCCACCCGCCTGTCCCCTTGCTCGCCTCCCCGTGGCCAGCTGTGTTGTAGTAGCCCTGGCTGGGGAAGTTGCGTCAGAAACCGGAAGCCTCTGCAGGCTCCCAGACAAAGCCACCACGTGGGGGAGAGTCAAAGGGGACCAGAGGTGGCAGCTCAGGCTGCCAGGCTTGCTTGGGGCAGTTTCTCTAGTTATAAAAGCTATACTGTCGCAAAGTGGTGCAATCTGTGAGATTGAGGCCAGCCTGGGCTACATAGCATGCTCCAGGCCAGCTGGGGGCTACAGGGAGACTCTGTCTCAAAAGAGAACGAAGAAAAGTTGTGGGGTCTGGGAGAAGACAGATGAAACTGAAGTTCAGGACTCAATTCCAGTCCAGGCTAGAAAGAAAAACGGGTGGGGTGCAGGAGGTAGAGCTCCCCCAACCTGCGCAGGCCTGAGTTCATCCCCACCACCACATAAACAGGTGTGGCGCTCAGTACCTGGCTCAAATTCTAGAACGTTGAACTACAAGCCCAAAATGCGGAGAAATTTCCCCAGCTCCCCACAGTTGGCAGAGTGAAGGGCTCAGTGCTAATCATACACCGGGTGGAGCAAAATCCATTTTGGGGGGTTGAGTCGCCATGGCAGGAAGGGGATCCGGACATGTGTCCCCACAACACCCCACACACCCTTGTCCTTGGGCCAAGATCTCTGGGCATAGGAGACCTGACAGCAGAGGGCAGCAGCACCCAACTCAACCAGCAAGTTGGGGATGGGCCCCTTATAGGGTGACTTTGGGTGACTTCAGATGACTTCAGAGCTACTTAGCAGCAGCCACGCACCCCTCCACCAGGGACCATAACGCCAGCACCAGCTACTGCCGCCAGAGGACACAAAAGGAACAAGCCCAACCAGGTGCTGACCATAGTCAAATGTGGGCAGCTGGGCTCAGAAAATGAAAATGGCCAGTTTTCAACACAGGGTGGAAGAGAGGGAGCGCAGCGATGGGGGGGGGGGTACAGGACGGGACAGGGACACTCCCATAAGGGGAGCTCCCCAAGATTGCAGGGAATTCCCAACTCCTGATCACCATCAAGCTCTTAAGTGGATTCTAGAAAGTTCTCTAGAGGGGTCTGATGTTTCATGGATACAAGCCTGTGGGTTTACAAAGCAAAACCTGGTCATGCCAGGTGAAGATGGTAAACCAAACTTTAAACTTGCAAAACTCTGTTGACCACTTCTAGCCCGTTCCTCTAGAGAGACAGTTTAAAAGGGAAAAGGGGGACTCCAAAAAAAAAAAGAAATCAAACTGATGCTGGCTGTGGTGGTGCATGCCTTTGATCTCAGCACCCAGAACTCTGGAGGCAGAGGCCGGAAGATCTCTGTGAGATCAAGGCCAGCCTGGGCTACACAGTGAGTTCCAGGACAGCTGGAGCTACAGGGAGACCCTTACTCAAAAACACAAAAACCAAAAATCCATTAAAAGCAAAGACTGCAACCAGCAGGGGCCAGGTGGCCACTGGTGTAGAAAGAGGAGACCTTCCCTTTGTTAGCAGAAGTTTCTCCTTCCCGGACTGGAGGGGGATGAGGGGGATGGGGGGGTGAGGAGACACACAGTTTGGTGGCTTTGGGAGGCAGGGTGTCCGGAACAAAGCTTAGGGGATGGGAAGCTGGGGCTACCCCAACTTTACCTGTTTGCCTCTATAAAACAGTCTCTGCAGGTGAGGTTCCACGCGAAACAGCTCTTGAATCTTCTTCCTCAGCTCCTGCACTTTTGTCAGCCTGGACAGAGAGTCCACAGTGTGGGTCTCCTTCCCATCCATGGTCCGGACCTGGATCCACATGGTGATGGATGCTAAGCTGATAGAAAAGGAGAGGGGAAGAGGGCTGGTCAGTGTGTCCAGCCCCCTACCAGGCCAGGCAATCAGGGATCCTCTAGTTGCTTTCTTTCAAGTGGGTTTATTAAACTAATCAACTCTTAAGACCCCTCCTCCTGGCTTCCTGTTCCCTATATACGGAGTAGATGGCACCCTGGAAGGCCAGATGACATGAATTAGGCACCTAATGTTTTTAACGAGGAGCAAGTGGTTAAGACTTGAATGGGGCCAAAGACATCTTGGAGGCTTTCAAAAGGGGAGAAAAAAACGCCAGGCATGGTGTTGCAACCTTTGATCCCAGCACCCGACAGGCAAAGGCAGGCAGAGCTCTATTTGAGCGAGGCCAGCCTGGTCTACATAGTGAGGTCCAGGCCTGCCTGAGCTACACAGTGAGACTCTCTCTCAAAACAAGACGGGAGAAAAACAAAGTTCAGGGCAGGAGAAAAAACCCTGCTCAGACCGAGAGTGATCGCCTCTGCTCGTTCATTCATTCACCCCACAGGGTCCCATTCACAGAAGGTGGAACCCGCTAACACCAAAGCGGACCAGAACTTCTGTCGTCCGGGAGGGACAACTCGGACACCTAAGGCACGACCCTCACCCCTCGACTTGGGACCCCTAAAGTTCCCGCCCGGCGCCTACCTCGCGCGTGTGTGGAGTGGCGGGGGACACCGCGGTGGCCATGGCAACCGGTCGTCCCAGCCCGGCCACCCCCACGCCCGCGCAGAAACTCACCACGGATCCCTCTCGTAGCTTGTTGGACTTAACTTCCCGCCCCGGAATCCCGACTCTGGACTTTTGCGTTGCGGCTTTTCAAGACGCTCCCACACACAAGGAAACCCACGCCCACACCCTTCCCGGCTGCCCGGGTCTTGCGGCGCTCCTTAAGTTCCGCCCTTCACGGAGTCGCTGCTGATTGGTTCTGCCCAGACCGGACGCCCCTCCCTCCTCGCACGCGATTGGTTGAGCCGCGCCCGGGGAAGTCAGGGCGCGCGAAATCGGGCTCCGGCGCGACAATTGAATCGCGGGGAGCGTCCCGCGCGCAGGCGCAGAACCCGCGTCCGCCCCTCCCGGGCCGCGAGTCACGCGGGTTTCCCGCCGGCTGAGCCAGACCCCCGGGAGTCAGAAAAGGGGTTCAGCATGGTGGACACCCTCAGATTCCCCCTAAGCAGGGTGCAGAAGCATGCATGCGCAGTGGCTCTCCGCAAAGCTCAGGACACGCGTGGGAAAGTTTTGAAGTTTCCCGGCGCGACTTTCTGCGCTGGGCCAGAAAGGAGGTTCAGCGTGGAGGATAATTTTTAGATCCCCCTCAGACCGGGGGCAGAAACACGCATACGCGATGACTGCACTTCTCAAGCAACGCGCGAGGGAACTCTTAAGAAATTTTGCAAAATCCACACACACACAGTGCAACCCTGTGCGCCGGGCCAGAAAGCGGGTTCAGCGAAGAAGACACGCCTTGGATCTCAAGCCAAGTGCACAACCATTCACGTGAAATGGCTACGCAGTGCCTAGGCCACGCGCGAGAAAAGTTTTTTGCAAAGGTTTTGCGCGGTGTCCCGCCGTGCAAGCGTGTGCGCGCAGCCCGAGCCCGCACCCCGCGCCCGGACTCACCTCCGGCGGCAGCGATCCGTACTCCCCTCTCTTCTGCAGTGCCTGGCCCTGGGCTGGGGCTTTGGACCTGGCGATCGTAGGGTGAGACGCGTGCGTGGCAGCGGACCTGACGGTGCCCAGGAGTGCGCGATCGGCTCCTGGCGCGTCCAGCTGCTTGGATTTTTTTCTATTTTCCCGCGAAATCTTAGGGCGTTTTTAGAAGTGTGCAAGGGCTGCAGCGGGAGGCCGGACCGCGGGGAACGAGTGGGTGGGGGCGTGTTCCTAGTTCCTGATTGGCTAGCGCAGTGGCGGGAAGCGAGAAAGAGGGTGGGGGCGTCCCCGAGACTCTGGGATCCACCCCACACAGAGCTCCGCCCAGCAGGCCACGACTCCGCCCTGCCTGCGCTGCTCCACTGGGTGTCCATTTCAGCCAGAAGGCCTGGCCCCCCACTATGCAAACCCCATTGGTATCCCAGGGGTAACCTCTTGAAGAGACCCCTGATCTCAGTGCATTCTGGCTCCTCCTCCGCTGGACACACCTTGACCTCCTAGACCTAAGCCGTCCAGAATCTATGGCCATATATTGCAGGGAAGTTGAGGGGTGTCCCACACCAGACATCTTATACCCCCAAGTTTTGCCGGATTACGCCCCAGCACACAGAGGCACCTACAGGGCCTGCCAGCGCCTCCCCACGCTGCCCACCCGCAGGGATTGTTCTGGCTCGCTTTTCCCGCCTGCTTTTCCCGCCTTCTGCGAGCTGTCCAGGCGGGCAGGGCCGCCCTGCCCCCTCCACCCCGGCCTTCTCCTTCCAACTATCCGTAACCGGTCCTGGGCACCCACAAAGTCTGGGACCTAACCCTATGCAGTGCCCAGGCCACGAAAGGGAACCTGTTTTGTTTTGCTTTGTTGCAAAAGCTTTGCGCAGTACCCAACGGAGCAACCGGCTGGTAGCGGTCTGCGTACATGGGGGTCCCAAGGAAGGTGGATTCTTGTGTGGAGAAGCAAGAAACGATGAATAAACGTTCAGGGTGATTTCACTTGCTGCAAGGTCGGAGTGACCCCTTGGCCAAGTGGGGGCTGGGACTGAGTTCCGGCTGCAGGAATGGCGAAGGCCTGGGCCTCCATGTGGTTCAGGATTAAACCGACTCAGCATGCCTAAAGATCCCGGAGTTGTGGAAAGAGGAAAGCTTAGGGGCAGAGGTGGGGTGAGAAGACCCCAGGCTCCGGCGGAACTCAGAGGCCATGAGAACGACTTTGGTCTCTGCCTCACAGGGCAATAAGCAAAAAGAAAGAGTTCCTTAAACAAAAAAGAACAACTCTGTTTTTGTGAAACAATCTCATGTAGCCCAGGCTGGCCCCAACTCACTGCGTGGCCAAGGATGACCCTGAATTCCTGTCCCCACGTGGCCAGGGGCCACTCCATCCACCCCCCCCGGGGGGGGGCAGTTTACAAAGTTGTACAGGCATGGTGCTGGACTCCTATTTTTCCAAAGCTCTTTATAAAGCCTTCCAGTGATATCCCCAAAGATATCCAAGTCCACATCACCAAAGGGCTGGTTATACAGCCTTCCACAGCTGGGTGGGCTTTACTAGTGTGATTAACGGTTTCGAGTATGGACCTGGAGTGGTGTACACTCCTGTCATCCCAGCATTCAGAAGGTGGGAGTAGGATTAGGAGTTCAAGAGTTCCTCCAGCTATATGGTGAGCTTGAGGCTAGCCTGGGCTACATGAGAACCTGGAAGCTGGGGAGAGAAAGAAACTTTTTTTTTTTCGGTCTTTTTGAGACAGGGTCTCCCTGTAGTTCCAGCTGGCCTGGAACTCATTATGTAGACCAGGCTGGCCTTGAACTCACAGAGATCCACCTACCTTTGCCTCCCAAGTGCTGGGATTAAAGGCGTGTGCCACCATGCCCAGCAAAACAAATGATTTAAAAAAAAATAAAAACCTGGGCCAATGGGAGGGCTCAACAGGTAAAGGAGCTTGCAGCTAAGCTCTGTGAGTTCAAGACCAGCCTGGTCTACATAGTGAGTTCCAGGACAACTTGGAGCCAAAGATTATAACAGTCTCTCAAAAAAAAAAAAAAAAAAAAAAAAAACCGACTTCCATGAATTCTGACCTACACACACACCACAGGGTCACAGGCACACACACCCCACATACACACAATCAATAATAAAATTGGATATTTTTTTATTTAAATTAAATAGCAAGGCAACATATGTCACTCAGCCAAAGCTATCAGAAAAGGAAAAACAAGACAGCTCAAAGACAATGCTTAGAGAATGTGCTGTGAAGCTCGAGGACGATCTAGCACAGGCTTTGGTCTCAGACAAAGGGCTTTGGAAAACAAAGGGCTAGAGAAATGGCTCAGCGGTTAAGAATTCTGGCTGTTCTTGCAGAAGACCCAGGTTTGAATCCCAGCACCCACATAGCAGCTAACAACTGTCCATAACTCCAGTTCCAGGGGATCCAACAACCTCTTCTGGCCTCCGTGGGCATTGCATGACATGGGTGCACTTACCTACATGCAGGCAATACAATACACATAAAAATAATAAATAAAATATTTTTTAAAAAAACAGAGGGCCTCTGTTCTCCTTTAGCAAAACCTGTTCTTGAAGGTCTTTAAGTCGTTCAACAAACCTTTATTGGTATACCACAACCTTTGAGTCAGATCCTGGGTCCGACAGACTTTTAGTTGTGCACAGAGTTCATTGACACCCAGTTGCACCCTAGAAGGACTTCTGTCCAGCTGGGAAACCACAGCTTACATGGAAACATCAGCCATGGAGCAAGATGGTGCTTCACGGCGGTGCAGTGGTTCAGATTGAACACAAGGGAATGAGGATTATCAACACACGTTTGACAATGTCTTCATGTGCTGGTTTTATATGGCGGCGGGGGGGGGGAGAGAGAGAGAGAGAGAGCGCACTCTGTTGGGGTGGAGCAAGTGATCACCGCTCAGCTATATCCCCACTCTTTTTACTTTGATTTTTATCTTTTTATTATTTTTTATGTGTATGAGTGTATTGCCTGCGTGTTTGTAAGTGCACCATGTGTGCAATACCCAAAGAGGTCAGAAGAGTGCATCAGATCCCCTGGAAATGGAGTTAGAGGAGGTTGTTAGCTGCCAGTAGGTGCTGGGAACCGAACCTGGGCCTTAACCGCTGAGCCTGCTCTCCAGCTATGCTTTTTTTGTTTTTTGTTTTTTGTTTTTTTTGAGACAAGCTCTCACTCCATAGCCTGAAATGCACACAATGCAATAGCCCAAGGTCGCCCCAAACTCTCATCAATCCTCCTGCCTCAGTCTCTCCCAAGTGCTGGGACGACAGGTGTGCCCCACTAACCTGCTTTCCTTTTTATTTTGAGACCAATTCTCACTCTGATTACCTAGGATGGCTGATAGGCCTGGTTGGGAAGACTCATTTTCTGTTATTTCAAGGATTATACCAATCAGGGCCAGGCATGGTGACACTGGCCTGTCACCCCAGCCCTCCAGAAGCAGAGACAGGGGGATCAGGAGGAGGTCAGTGTTATCCTTGGCTACATGGGGAATTTGAGGCCAGCCTGGAATACCTGAGACCCTGTCTCCTTTCCTGGAACTCTGGGCGGAGTGATGTCACAGAGAGGGGAAGTCACCGCAGCCCAGGCACCAGGAGCAGGTGTCCCATCTCGGTGGCTCTCGGGGGAGGGAAAGCATGTGTCTCCAGCTGCCCAACCTCCCATGTCTGTGGTCAAGTCTATAGAATTAGTGCTACCCAAAGATGAAGTCTACCTGGCCGGCTCAAACATAGATGGGCAGGTGGTTCTCACCCTCAACAGCACCCTGATAGACCCCATCGTGAAAGTAGAGCTGGTCGGTCATGGTTACGTTGAGTGGAATGAAGAAGTCGGGGAGACCCGAGATTATAGCCAAGATGTTATCTGTAATAACAAGGCAGATTATGTGCATAAGACGAAGACATTCGCAGTGCTGGGTAAGAACAAGGCTGGCATCCTACTGCAGCCAGGACAGCACCCCGGGGTGGGCAGGTAAACACATCCGATAGTCAACAAACCCCATCTAGTACTAGATCAACAAACTCTCTTGGGTATCAGGGCTGTGCAGAGGGAAGCCATGATGAGCAATGACCAATATGAAAACATGAAGATGCAGGCTCCAATGGGAGCTCAGGCATTCAAACGAACAAGCAGAGAGCCTTTGGGAAACACTGGACTTAGTCCCACACGCCCACAAGTGTCATTTGACGTGGAAATCGCTCTGGTATGGAGACTCAGGGAGACCTAGGAGGGGAGAGTGGCCCTCAGTCCCATCAGCCACCTCTGACATTGGGGACCCTGAGCGCCACATCCTTCCCAGACTGTGTTGTTGGGTTGTTGTGAATGTTTGCAGGTTTTCTGAGTTTAGGGGATGGGTTTTATTGCTTTTGGAGACAGGTCTCATGCAGCCCAGGCTGGCCTTGAATTCAATACATAGCCAAGGAACCTGATCTTGATTGGGAAGTAGACACAGGAGAATCAGGAGTTCAGGATCATTCTCAGCTACATAGTAGGTTTAAAGCCTGACCTGGGCTACAGGAGACCTGTCTTGGGAAAAAAAAAAAAAAAAATGAGGATCAGGAGACTCATACAGTGAGCTCATTCAGCTACTTAACATTTATTGAGTGCCAACTTTTCCAAGTATGTGCTAACTGATGATAATGCAGCAATAATTAAAACAGATAATGTTTTTGATGTTTTGGAAATTGCTTGAGAAGGTAGGCAAGATGGTTCAGTGGATAAAGGGGCTTGCAGCCAAGCCTGATGACCTGAGTTCGATCCCTAAGTCCCACATGGTAGAAAAAGAGAACCAACTCCCACAAGTTGTCCTCTGACCTCAATGTGCTCTCCGTGACAAGTATACACACACATTAAATAAATAAATAAATAAATAAATAAATAAATAAATAAATAAAATATAATTAATAAAATTTTTTAAAAAAGAAAAGAAAAACCAAATTCACAAAAATAAAGTCAGGGTGAGAGGGCCCTGCTGTCAGTCAGTCAACAAATACGGGAGCTGTTGCTCAATGGTTAGATCCCGTTCAGTAGATCTACAGGAGGGAAAATTGTCTGGAAGGTTCTCACGAGATGCCTCGGTGTGTTTTACTTACAGATAATTGGTTAAGCGCAGGCAGCCACACCTTTGACTTCCATTTCAACTTACCTCCCAGGCTCCCGTCCACCTTCACCAGCAAGATTGGCCATGTTTCCTACTTCTTGCAGGCCCTGTGCATGGGCCGAGAAAACATCTTGGCTAAGAAGAGGCAGTACCTGATGGTCCAAGGGATTTCCGAATTTCACCAGCGGAACCTAAAACAGGTACCCACGGAGAAGGGGAGCAGGAAGGTGGGACTACAGATGCAGGAACTGGGAGGTGGGGCAGCCTGGCAGCATCTGCAGACTCCTGGACTATTTCACCAAAGGTGACTTGGGGTCAACAAGAGGGCTCAGTGGATGAGGGAGCTTGCCACCAAGCCTGAGAATCTGAGTTCAATTCCCAAGAATCGAAGGAGAGCACTGACACCTGCAAGTTGTACTCTGACCTCCACATATGTGCCAAGGCACCCTGCAGGGCTGAGGACACCCCACAGGGAACAGCCCAGTCCTTCCCCACTGTCCACAGAAGATCCTTTGGTGACTCAGGGCCTGGGGGACACCATTGAGAACTTTTGAGTCACACAGAGGCCTGAATACTTGGTGGCTTTGCCTTGTGGAGCCTTTGAGCCCTAAGAAGGTGGAGATGGGCCCTGTGTACCCTTCCCTGAGGGAAAGTCAGGGAGGGCAGATTTGGAATGACACTAACCAAGGGCAGTTACATTGTCACTCTGGGGCCATTAGAAACATTACAGATGACAAAGCTGGAAAGGCCTGGCCTTGGGCTCGGAGGGCTGAGTTCAAATCCAGCTCCTGCCACATGGTGCACCCGCCACTCTGCACTTTGCATCTGAGAAACAGATGATGAGGAGCTGGAGGCTGGCTCAGCGTTAAGAGCACTGACTGCTCTAGCAGAGGACTCAGGTTCGATTCCCAGCACCCAATGGCAGCTATGAACCATCGTTAACTCCAGTTCCAGGGGACTCCAAAGCCCTCTTCTGACCTCCTCAGCATTGCATAAAACAGGTGCACACACATACATGCAGGCAATACACTCATACACATAAAATTAAAATAATAAATTAAAAAATAGCCGGGCGTGGTGGCGCACGCCTTTAATCCCAGGACTTGGGAGGCAGAGGCAGGTGGATCTCTGTGAGTTCAAAGCCAGCCTGGTCTTATATATACACACACACACACACACTGGCTGCTCTTGCAGAGGACCTGGGTTCAGTTCCCAGTACCCACACGGTGGCTAACAACCATCTTTAACTCCAATTCCAGGGGATCAGATGGCTTCCTCCCTCCTCTGAGAGCACTGCACAACACAGATGCACTCACATACATGCAGGCGATACACTCATACACGTAAAACAAATACATCAAAAAATGTAAGCGAAAGTGAATAGAGAGAAGTGGCCTGTGGGCTCGCTCAGGGAGCAGGCCTAGGAGTGCAGCCGTGGGTCAAGTGGCAGAACATTTGCTGAGAGAGACAGAGACAGAGACAGAGAGACACAGAGACAGAGTCAGACAGAGACAGAGAGAGACAGAGAGAGGACTTCTTGCAAGTTCAGACCTGGATAGGGTGTGGGTCACAGTTCCTGAAGCAGGAGGTATTGTCATCTGTGTAGCAAAAAAATCTGTTGTCCCACCAAGTGCCCTGGAAGGGTAGACAGTTGGAGAACTCAACTACAATTAGTATCAGCAGACCAGCTCAGGGCCTGGTCACTTTGCCCTTAGGTGACTTTAGGCAGGCCATGGTCCCTCTCTAGGGCCTCTCTGAGAACTAAAGATGGCCCATGGAGAAGTCTGTGCAAAGGCCCAGGGGCACAACAGTCTGGTAAGTTTGGGAGTACTAGGAGGTGCCAAGTGAGTGGAGTGGGGAAGGAAGGGCAAGAACAGAAGGGTAGGACCCCAGCTTTGTCCTGGGTTGAAACAGTGTGTTGCTCAGCACTGCAGGGGTCATATGCACCTTGAAATTTTGAATACACAGGACAGACTGAGAAGGGGTCTCTCTGCTTTAGACCAGGAGCTCTGGAGGGAGGCTGCAGAGAGGCGGGGTCAGAGGGAGAGGGCAGAAGATGACGTCAGAAGGGTCAAGGGTCGGCTAGACATCCCTAAGAGAAGAAAGACTAGATTCTGGTGTATTTTCCTTTTTCTTTTTACATTCCTTTATTTCATGGGGTAGGGGCACCGTAGCAAGAGCTCAGAGAACATCGGGAGTCGGATCTCTCCTTGTACCATGAGTGTCCTGGGGATTAGCAAGCCCCTTGACCCACTGAACCCTCTCTGAGACCCCTCCGAAGAGTTCTAGTTTTCAAACCATGGGTCATGAACCATGAGAAAGTTGCAAAAATCAATTTAAGCAAGAAGCAAGCCTGAACTAGGCATGGTAGTACACACCTACCATCCCAGCACTTGGGAGACCGAGGCAGGAGGATGGCTGTGAGTTCCAGGCCAGTCACAGCTACATAGTGAGCCCCTGTGTTGATGGTGATGATAATAATAATAGAAAATAATAGAATAATAAATTCCCAGCACTGGGTTGAGAGGCATGCCCCACCACTTCTGATTGATGGGGGACTAAGGATCAACCCAGGGCCTTATACAAGGCAGGCAAGCTCTGCCCACTGAGCCACAGAACTCTACCCATTGAGCCCAGCCCCAGCTGTCTTTTTTAATTTTTTTTTTTGTCTTTTTGAGACAGGGTCTCCCTGTAGCCCCAGCTGTCCTGGAACTCACTATGTAGACCAGGCTGGCCTTGAACTCACAGAGATCCACCTGCCTCTGCCTCCCAAGCGCTGGGACTACAGGTGTGCGCCACCATGCCCGGCTTTAAATTTATTTTTATTTATATGTATGTGCATGTATGTAAGTGCTCTTAACCGCTGAGTCCTTGCTCCAGCCTCTGGCTTTTTTGATGTTTGTTTTAAGAGTGGGTTTGACTGTGTAGCCCATGTGGGCCTTGAGCTCAGAGATCTTCCTGCCTCTCGCTCTAGAGTGCTGGGTTCAAAGACATGCACCACCACATGCAGCCAGTATTTTGTCTTTTGAAACAGAGTTTCACTCTGTATTCCAAACTGCCCTTTAATTCACTTTGTAGCCCAGGCTCACCTCAAACCCATTCTGTGGTCCAGGCTAGTCCTGAACTCTCTGCCTTCTTGCCTCAGCCTCCCAAAAGCTCCAAGATCCCAGGTGCCAGAGACTCAAGTCTGAGTTCTACATCCCTTCAGACCCCCCTGGAGCCCCACAACCTGGCTCAGCTCGGGGTACAAAGTGAGTTTGAGGACAGCCTGGACTGCACAGTGAATCTGAGGGCAGTTGGGCTACCTAGTGAGTCTGAGGATAGCCTGGACTACATAGTGAGGGCAACCTGGGCTATGTGGTGAACCTCAGGACAGCCGGAGCTACCTAGTTTAGTGCTCCTGGGCTATTTTGGAGATGACTCAGGCCGCCTGGTGGGTACTCTCAGGGTGCTCTGAAGTGCTCACCAGGTCACCTTGACTCTTGCAGAACCCACTGTTGGTGAAGGTAGAGAAGAAGGTGACGTACAACTGCTGCAGTGAGGGCTGGGTGAGCTTACAGGTACAGATGGACAAGAATACGTTCGTGCCAGGCGAGAAAGTGACACTCACGTCAGAGATCCAAAACCACACCGGCAAGCACATCAAGACAGTGGTCCTCGCCCTCTACTCCCATGTGCAGTACGAGGGCTTCACCCCCAACGCCGAGCATCGCTGGAGGGCGGACAGCAGTGAGCTGCTGCGACAGGTGGCCAGTGCCCACATCGCCGCCTTCAGCAGCACAAAGGTGGTCAGCGCCTTCAACTTACCGCTGGTGCTGTCAGTGAGCAACAGCTCCCAGGAGAACGAGATCATGAGCACCAGCTATGAGCTGGCAGTCACCATCCACCTACCCTGGTCCCTGTCTACTGTCAAAGCCCGGGTCCCTATCATCATCACCAGCAATGGGGCCGGGGGGCTGGACAGCTTCCCCCAGGGAGATGAACTCCGCAGTGAGGATTAAATGATTTGAGTGCCCAAATTTTAAATATTAGAAGCTTATTCTAAGTCTAGGTGACTGTTTGTCCACTGGGGTGGGGACTCAGTGGTAGCTATCTGGACCAGCATGCATGAGACCCTGGGTTTATCCCCCAAACGCCATAAACCAGACCCGGGGGTGGCATGTCTCTCACCCCAGCCCTTGGGAAGCAGTGAGGCAGGACGATCAGGATTCAAGGTTATTTTGTTCTTTAATTTTTTTTTTTTTGGTCTTTTTGAGACAGGGTCTCCCTGTAGCCCCAGCTGTCCTGGAACTCACTATGTAGACCAGGCTGGCCTTGAACTCACAGAGATCCACCTGCCTCTGCCTCCCAAGTGCTGGTACTGCAGGCGTGCGACACCACACCCAGCTGTTCTTTAATTTTTTTTTTGTACAAGTATTTTGTTTGCTGGCATATATGCTGTATGTGTGTAACAGTGAAGGTGGAAGAGGATGACAGGCTGCCTTGTGGGTGCTGGGAATTGAACCCAGGTCCTCTGGAAGAACAGCAAGTGCTTTTAACCCCTGAGCAACCTCTCCAGCCCAGGATTCAAGGTTATCTTTAGCTACACAGTGAATGTAAAGACAATTTAGGCTACATAGTTTGATCCAGTGAGGCTGCACAGTGAGTCTGAGGGCCACTTTGGATACCTAATGGAGTCTGAGGGCATCCTGGGCTACATAATGTGTTTGAGGGTAGCCTGGGCTACCTAAGACCCTGCCTCAAAAACAAAACGAGTCAGCTGGGCATGGTGGTGCATGCCTTTAATGCCAGCACTCCGAGGCAGAGGCAGGCGGATCTCTGTGAGTTCAAGGCCAGCCTGGTCTACATAGTGAGTTCCAGGACAGCTGGGGCTACAGGGAGACCCTGTCTCAAAGAGACAAAAAAAAAAAAAACAAAAAAACACAAGTCAACATCATTTCACAGCCACCATCAGTGCCCAAGATAAAGGCTTCTGGAACATTCTATCCAGCTCTACAGCTTCCACAGGGGGTGAAGGGGTCCATCCCCTGCCCCCTCCACACACTAGACTCAGTCACCCATGCAGGCGAGCGTTAGGGATGTTTCCTGTGTGGTGACTGACTCAGCACGCCAGGTGGGCCAACGGGAGCCAGCAGCTGGGCTGCCATGCTTCCTGCCCCCCCACCATGAAGGGGCCCCTCAGTTTTCCTTGGCCCCTAACCCCAAAATAGCCTCCCTCCCAGGAACCTGAGCACCTACACAGCTGCAGTCTCTGCCAACTCAAGGGGGAGAAGTGGATCGTGACTCGTGGCATGAGGGAGCTAGGCAGCTGCCATCCTGGGGGTGTACACACGGCCAGGCCTGGCCACCAGGGTTGTCCCTTGCAATCCTAACACCCCAAGCCCCGCTATTAAGGCTGAGCTCTGCCGTCCAGTGCCTGCTAGGGAGAGGTCACACCTGTTGTCAATTAGGGACAGCAAAGTGACACCCCATGTTTATGATTAACTATTTCAAGGGGATGAAGAAGTGGGTGGCCTGGTGTGTCTCCTGTCTCTGGACTCCACCTGGCATGACCAGTGTGTCATGGGTCAGATGCCAAGCCTGCTCGCTTCATGTCTGCCTGCAAGAATGAGTGGCCAAAGAGGCCTGAGATACACCTTGCAATTGACCGGGATGCTGGGGACGTAGACCGGAGCCCAGGGGACATGCTGAATCTGCGAGACTCCACCAGCCCAACCCAGCTGCCCACAGGCCTCAGAGCCACATCCCTCCCCCAAGCCTGTCACCACCACAGATCAGAAGGGGAGACCAGCAAGCAGCTGGCGCCAAGAGGTCCAGGAGGGTGGGGACAGTTGGGCCTGCATGTTAAAAAGGCCCCGCAGTGTCCTGCAGCTAGGTTCCTGGGGACAAAATCCTGGGCTGTGCATTCCTAAAGCCACACACAGGGCAATGTCATGTGCACAGGGGCTAGTCACCAAAGTGCTGGGTGAAACTCAGGACTTGTAGCTAAATGAAGGATTTTATGACTCTTGATTTGTCCCTCAACAAAGTGGGGACGTGCTTATGTCAGAACTGAGACACTTCGGACAGAAAGGTCTAGTTCTTACGAAAGCGTTTTTTCTTCTTCATTTTTTGAGAGAGGGGCCCAAGTAGCCCAGGCTGGTTTCAAACTCCCTGTGTAGCTGAGGAAGACCCTGAATTCCTGATCCTCCTGCTTCTACCTTCTGAGCGCTGGGATGACAGGTGTGTACCACCACCCAGTTTATGTGATGCTGGGGTGAAGCCAGGGTTTGGCGAATGCTAGGCAATCACTCTGCCCCCTCAGCTACAACCCCAACTCCTTAATTTCTCTTAAAATCAGAAGAAGCCAGCAGCAATGGCTTGTGCCTTTCATTCCAACACTGGGAGCCTAGGCAGGGGGATGGCCTGGGTCAGCGAGATAAAATAGAAGTTTGTTGGGGGCCAGCGAGAGGGCTCAGCAGGTTAAGGAGCTTGCTGCCAAGTCTAACAACCTGAGTTCAATCCTTGGGACCCACATGGTGGAAGTGGAGAATTGACTCCCACACGTTGTCCTCTGTCTCCACACACATGCTGTGGTACACATGTGCCCACACATATACACAATACATAAATAAATCTAATATAAATGTTTTTTGGGTTTTTTTTTTTTTTTGAGACAGGATGTCCTCGTAGCTCCATCGGGCCAGGAACTCTCTATGTAGCCCAGGCTGGCCTCAGTCTCCCAGTGATCTGCCTGCCTCTGCCTCCTAAGTGAGTGCTGGGATGCTGGGATTAAACTAGTGTGCACCACCACACCCAGTACAATATAAAAAACAATTTAAAGTTCTTTCAACATCTCCAGTCTTAAAGAGCCTCTACCATTCTCAGTGTGTCTCCCAACAGGCCTTGGAGTGCTGTGACGGCTGAGGGGTCTACACTGGGTCCCTAGGGCTGCCCTGCAGGAGCTTGGCATACAGTATCTTAAAGTTGCTGAATGCCTGCACGCACAGCCTGTGGACCACTGGCTGGAGGTCAGTAGGGCTGGACAGGGGGTTGCACAGAGGGAAGAGGGTCAGAGGAAGGAGGCACTGAGCAAGTGGGATGCTGTCTGGGAACAGGGCACCACCTGGTGGCAGCGTGCCGTCTCCTTCCCTGGCTCCTTCCCAACGAAATGGGCATTTTTCAGTTGGCATCTGTCTGGGGTAGAGGTGGGAGGATGAGGAATTCAAGGTCTTCCTTGGCTACATAGTGAGTTTGAGGGCATCCTAGAGAAAGAGATCTTGGGCCAGATGTTCAGGAAAGACTTGGCATTGGCTCTCAGTAAGGACCGATCCTCCGCTGCAGCCACTTCCTACGTTGGCACAAACACAGTAACGAATGCAGGGTTAGGAGCCACGGAGCGGGAGCGCCAAAGACGTCAGCCTCCTTCTTAGTCTCTCCGACCATCTGGGACTAAAATATAGATTTAATACCAAGAGGGGAAAAAATATTTAGGAACTGGAAAAAAAAAAAAAATCCAAGCAAGGCAGTTTCAGGAACGGGTTGATCCAGGAATTGGAGAACCGGGAGCTGAGTCCTGTGGTGCTCCTGGCTGTTCGTCTCTGGGCCTCTACTCTCTCATCTGTAAAACGGGGTAATGGGGTGACAGAACGGCCTCAAAGCCGTAGGACGGTGAAGAGAGTCGACTTGGGGGCTCCCTCAGGGAGGGACGTGACAAAGTCGCTCCGTCCTTCAGGTTCTGGGACTAGGTCCCTTTGTGAGTCACCACCTCCTGAAGGTCTCCTTAGAGGGGTGGATAGTGGGCGGGGCCATACCACGGGGATCTCTGATTGGCTCTCTGTCCCGTCACTCCACGACCACGCCCTCCCACAGGAGCCACAAGGCCTCCCCGCCCAACCCCGGGCTGATCCCAGCCAGTCCAGGTTTCCGAGCGCCGGACGTTCCTAGGACTCTGGTGAGAAGCTGAGGGGTCTCTGATCGATCTTGGGGCGCCCCTGAGGGGAGGGAGACTCGAAGAGGCCTTGCTAAGGGGTGCTCAGGGGGTCCTCAGCTTCCTGCCGGTGGGAAATCCCACTTTTAGCAAGTGCCTCTGACTTTCGCAAGTGCTTCTGACTTTCGCAAGTGGCTCCGGCCTTCCAGCTTTTCCCGTCGCCACCCCAGGGACTTTGGAAGTGGAGAAAGCACCCGGGGTGCCCAGGGAGGTGGGTTCTACCGGCCGGGCCCCGCCCAAGGTCCCCAAACTTGGAGCTGCACTAGGGCACGTCCCAGATATGCTCCTGGCCTGGGAGCTCCACCCGCCTCCCCGGGGTTACTGAGTCGCGGTGCCTAGGGGGAACCAAGCCCAGCCTCCCTTTGAGCATAGTTTTGCCAGCAGCGCACTGGCTTCGACCCTGGGGTGTGTGTGCTGTTTAGGGGGGAGATCTTGCATAAAGCCAGGCCTGTTCCAGGGGAGGTGTGGCCTGGGCTCCTGTCCCCAGCTGGGCCTGGTACTTCCCTCTGCTGGAATATCTCAAATTCAGCCACTGTTCTGTTGTTTGGTTTTGGAGAGGAGCTTGCTGTGTAGCCAGGGATGACCCTGAACTCCTGATCCTCCGAGTGCTGGGATGACACCTGATTTTTGAGGTGCTGGGGATGAACCCAGGGCGTTGTGCTAGGCCAGGGCTCTACCCACTGAGCCCCACTCTGCTTTCATTGGTAGCCCAGGCTAGCCTTGATCTCACTACGTAGCCAAGGATGACCCTGAATTGTGCTCCTGCTGACTCTACCTCCCCAGTGCTGGGATGACAGGTGTGTCCCTGGATGAAACGCTGTCTTTCTTTCTTTCTTTCTTTCTTTCTTTCTTTCTTTCTTTCTTTCTTTCTTTCTTTCTTTCTTTCTTTTCCTTCCTTCCTTCCTTCCTTCCTTCCTTCCTTCCTTCCTTCCTTCCTTCCTTCCTTCCTTCCTTCCTGACAGGATCTCCCTGTAGCCTCAGCTGGCCTGGAACTCACTATGTAGCCTAAGATGGCTTCAGTCCCACAGAAGTCTGTCTGCCTCTGCCTCCCAAGTGCTGGGATTAAATGAAATACTGTCTTCCACAGCTGGATGCTGTGGTCTGGGAGCCTGCCTCAGTTTCTCCAATGAGAAAGTAGCCTTGTGCTGGATGGTAGAGTTGCAGCCAGCTGTCCCTGTCCCATCTGAAGCCAGCTGTGACAGGTCACCGGCCCAGTACTTGAGAGGCACTCACTTCTGTCCTAAGTGGACCCTGCCTTATCGGACTCAAAGAGGGGACAGGACAAAGCTGCTGAGTCCAGGAGATCGGGCTGGGCTCTACCTAGAAGGGCAGGTGACAGTCATGGGGTTTAGATGATCATCACAGGTCTGGGGTGTGGCCATCACCTGAGACCTTTGTTACAGAGTGGAAACTGGGGTACAGAAGGCTAGTGACCCACACCTTTAATCCTAGCACTTGGGAGGCAGAGGAAGGACGATGTCTGTGAGATGAAGGTCAACCTGGGCTACATAGTACGTTCCAGGCCAGCTGGGGCTACAGGGAGACCTGTCTCAAAAAAATAATAAACAGCAATCAATTAATCAATCAATCAATCAATCAATCCATAAATAGGGCCTTGGCACCCATATGCTGGAAGGAGAGACCCAACTCTGCAAGCTGTCCTCTGACTGCCACATACACACAATACTATAAATAAATAAAGATGTAAAAAACAGAAAAAAAGAGGATCTGGGGGTGCAGCTTAGTGGTAAGTGCATGGCTCTCATGTTCAAAGGCCGTGCATTGCAAAATAATTAGAAAGTAAATAAATAAAAAGAACAGAACAGGTCTGGTGTGCTGGAATTGATAGGTTCGGCTTAGTCATGCCATTTCCTAAGGAAACTTTAGCCTCATTCTTGAGACACTGAACAGAGCCAGGTAGCCAACTAACTGGCCTTGTTCCTTAGAACACAAACCCCAGACACCTGGCTTCACCCTGATTCGGTCTCTCATTGGTTCAAGAACATAACTTTGGTTTTTTTAAGACATGTAACCCAGGCTGGACTCAAATTTGCTTTGTAGCTGAGGATGACCTTGAACTCCCGACCCCTGCTCCACCTCCCGATCCCCAGCTTCCACCACCTGAGTGCTGAGATGACTGATGGTGCACCACCACATCTGGTTTTGGGGTGCTGGAGATGGACCTAGGGCCTCATGATTGCTAGATGAGCACTCTACCCATTGAACCAGGTTTCTAGCTTTTTAACTGTTGTTTATTGGCCAGATAACATTACCTACCTGGCCTAAAGTTCAAGCCCCTCTCTTCTACCTCAGTTCCCAGCTACCTGATCCTCTTCAGCAAATCTCTTCCTAGCCTGTCAAGTTTCCCCAGTCTCTAAACTTCTGTTTAAAAAACAAGCAAACTCTGCCAGGCATGGTAACACATGCCTTTGGTCCCAGCACTTGGGAGGCAGAGCCAGGCAGATCTCTGTGAGTTCAAGGCCAGCCTGCTCGCAAAATCTTTGGCAGCATTTGATAACTTGTGCCTGTAAACATATTGGCCATGAAAGTTATACTTGTGTATCTTAATGAAGCCACATCTGTGGGACATCTAGGTGCTTTCCCCTATGAGTGAGGGCTGGGGGCGTGGCTCAGGGTAGAGTGACAGCCTAGAGTCCCCAGTGAGGGGCTGGAGGTGTGGCTCAGGCAGAGGTTATGCTGAGCATGCTGGAGGCCCTGGGTTTGATCTCTGGCACCAAGGAGGACGTAGGCCCCACCTTTGACCTTCTGAATTGATGATGGGGCTCCCAATGACCCTTGTGCCTTCTAGTGAGCAGGACAAGGCTTTGAGAAGGAGGGTTCAGAGGTCCACTGTTTCCTGTGTCCCCTGCTTCCCTGACTGTCCCTTGTGCTCACAGCACTAGCAGCCAAGATGTCTGACAATAAGACAGAAGTTGCAGCCGACACCCCAGTGAGCAGTAAGATGCCAGCACCACAGGTGAGGGGCCCCGGGTGGGACCAACAGAGCCTGTGGCTTCTTTGCGGTGACAGGTGTGTGCCACCCCAGCTGGTTTATGTGGTGCTGGGATGATCCCAGGGCATCAGTCCTGCTAGGAGAGTGCTCTGACGAGAATGGGGTTCCCTGTCCTGTTTACGGCCTGACACATTCTGGGGGGGTCCACCCCATCACATGACAAAACCTTGACGCTCCCTCCTTGCCCAATTGCTAATACCAAGCAGGATTGCTGAGGATGAGATGGGCTCACAGGGCACCCCAAGATTCAGACTGGTTCCCTACCATCTTCCCCAGCGCACCCGAGTTTCTTTCTGGGTTTTTTTTTTTTTTTTTTTTTTGGTCTTTTTGAGACAGCTGGCCTGGAGCTCACTATGTAGACCAGGCTGGCCTTGAACTGGTGCCCGAGTGCTGGGATTAAAAGTGCACCACCAGCTTGGGCTCACCTGAGTTTCTTGAAACTCCCCCACAGCCCAGCGTGGTGGACCGAGTGGCCAACCTGCCTCTTATCGGCTCCACATGTGAGCTGGTGTCCTCAGCCTATGCATCCACCAAGGAGAACCACCCACACGTGAAGACTGTCTGTGATGTGGCTGAGAAAGGTGTCAAGACCCTGACAGCAGCGGCCGTTAGCGGGGCACAGCCCATCTTGTCCAAGCTGGAGCCCCAGAGTGAGTTGAGGACCCCAGAGAGTGGAGCATGGCTGTCACAACCATCTCTAGGGGAACTGCAACTTCTGGGCTTGGTCCTTGAAACCAGCCCTGGGTACCTATCCCCAAGTCCCTGAGGGACAGTAACTAATGGTGCCTTATGTTCTGTTTGGTGCCCCAGTTGTATCAGCCAGTGAGTACGCCCACCGGGGACTGGACAAGCTGCAAGAAAATCTGCCCATCCTACAACAGCCCACGGAGAAGGTAACCTCAAGGTCACCTGATGGGGGACCCACCTGACTGTGAGGTGTGTCCTTCCCAGCTTATCCTGCAAGTGTGTAATGCCTCTTCCCTGCCCCACCCCACTGGGCAAGGACATCTTCAAAGTCAGACACATCTGGCTAGAACCCCTCTGAATACCACCAGACTGGAGTAAGAGCCACCACCCCATCATCTGCTCTGGCCCTCATGCACCACATGATTTACGTAGGACACAGTAGGCCATGTCACAGCCCCTCGCTGGGAGAGTCTAGCCTATCAGTCTATGTCTGAGCCTCTCTAGCATCTCTGCAACAAGCGCTGTATTGCAGATTTGTGAAATGATACCCCTAATTCTCAAGTTGTTGGCCTGGGTTCCCTCTTATGTTCCCAAAGGTGGCTTCAGTCAGGGGACCACAGAGCAGGATTGAGCACCTCCCCTTCCTGCACAGCCCCACAGACACTGGTTGAGAGGAGGCATCTCTGGGGATCCAGGAAGCTGGCCACCCTATCTTAAGCTGAGCACTTTTCCAGTGACACAAAGAGCCCGGAGTGTCCTGAGGCCAGCACTCCTTCCTTAGAAGGACGAGTTCAGGTCAAGTTCGCCACATTTTTTTCACCTGAGCCTGCTTAATGCCTCTGAGCTTTGCCTCCAGGAGGCCTAGCTGACTCTCACTTTCTAAACTCCTGAAGCTGTTTATCCCTCAGGAAAGGGGCAGCCCTCTGAGTTTCACAAGCTAGGGTGCAGACACTATTGCATTTGAACCAGGGCTGTCATGAAGACCTCACATTGTGAGTTAAGGACCAGCCTGGCATACATGAAATCCTGTCTCAAAAGTAAAGACATAGAGTTGGCAAAATGTCTCAGCAGGTGAAGGAGCCTGCAGCCAAATCTGATGACCTGAGTTCAATCCCTGGGACCTACAGAACGCAAGAACCAACTGCTGCAAGCTATCCTCTGACCTGCACGGCACACACACACACACACACACACACACACACACGCACGCACGCGCGCGCGCGCGCGCGCGCGCGCTCGCACACACACACAAATAATAAATGCAAAAGGAAACAAATAAACTAGCCATGAGTTGGTGGCGCACCTTTAATCCCACCACTTGGGAGGCAGAGGCAGGCAGATCTCTGAGTTCAAGGCCAGTCTGGTTTACATAGGGAGTTCCAGGCCAGCTGGGACTACAGAGAAACCCTGTCTTTTTTTTTTGAGACAGGGTCTCACAAAGATCCACCTGCCTCTGCTTCCCAAGTGCTGGGTGAAACCCTGTCTTAAATAAAAAAAGGGGCTGGAGAGCTGGGTCAGTGGTTAGGAGCCCTAGATGCTCTTGCAGAGGACCCAGGTTTGGTTCCCAGGACCCACATGGTGGTTAACAATTGTCTGTAACTCCAATTCCAGGGAATCCAATGCTATATTCTGTCCTTCACAGACATTGCACAACGTAGGTACACCTACATACATGCAGGCATAACACTCATACACATAAAATAAAAATTAATTAATGTTGGGGCTGGAGAGATGGCTCAGTGGTTAAGAGCACTGACTGCTCTTGTAGAGGACCCGGGTTCAATTCCCAGCACTCACCTGGGGGCTACGAATTGTCCTTAACTCTGGTTCCAGGGGAATCCGAAGCCCTCTTCTGTCCTCTGAGGGCATTACATGACACGGGTGCACTTACCTACATGCAGGCAATACATGCATATACATAAAATAAAAATTAATATAAAAAAATTAATTAATGAACTAACTGGAGAGGACACACTTCAGCCAGGAATATCTTGAAACACCAGAGGATCAGAGAGACTTGGTATGTTGCCTGCAGTCACACAGCCTGGCTCTCTGGAGGCAGGGATTTGAACCTAGTAGTCAGCAGTAGACTTTGACATCTAACCACACAAGGGCATGAGTCGCCCCTCTCTAGCGTCCTTGGCATTTGGGGGACCTGGGCACGGAGGGAAGATGGGAATGCTCATGTTGTCCTGTTGGGCAGGTCCTGGCAGATACAAAGGAACTGGTGTCATCCAAAGTGTCTGGGGCCCGAGAAATGGTGTCCAACGCAAAGGACACAGTGGCCACCCGGATGACAGAGGCCGTGGACGTAACCAAGTCAGCAGTGACCAGTGGAGTCCAGTCGGTTATGGGCTCCCGCATGGGACAGATGGTGATGAGTGGGGTGGACACGGTCCTGGGGAAATCGGAGGCCTGGGCCGATAACCACCTGCCCATGACGGACGCGGAGCTGGGTGAGTGTCTTTCGCCTTCTTGGGGTATCCTTCTCCCCTCAGTCTCCTGCCTCAGAGGACACAGTTGTCCTCCCTGCATCAGCCACCAGGGGGTACCTGTGAGTACCAGGCAGCTCCCTCTGCCCACAGCCCTCCAAGGCTCCCACCTCTGTCCTGTCAAAGCCCAAGTCTTCTATACAGCCCCGGAGGTCCTGCCCAGCCTGTCATTTCTCTCCTGCCACCATGTGGGTCCTGAGGATCAAATGGAGGTCTTCAGACTTGGCAGCAATCCCCTTTACCTCCTTAGTCCTCTTGCTGGCCCAGGGCTGATCCTCCTGCCTCGGCCTCCTGCGTGCTGGGATGACAGGCATGCACCACCATGCCTGGTTTATGTGGTGCTGGGGGTGAGCCCAGGGCCATGTGGGCTAAGCCAGTGTCAACCCACTGAGCCCAGCCCACTTATTTCATTTTTATTATTATTTATTTATTTATTTATTTATTTATTTATTTATTTATTATTTTGGTCTTTTTGAGACAGGGTCTCCCTGTAGCCCCAGCTGTCCTGGAACTCACTATGTAGACCAGGTTGGCCTTGAACTCACAGCCTCTGCCTCCCCCTCCTGAGTGCTGGGACAACAGGCGTGCGCCACCACGCCCACCTTTTTTTTCTTTTTTAAAAAATTTTAATTACTTTTATTTTATGTGTATGAGTGTATTGCCTGCATGTGTGTGAGTGCACTCTTGTCATGCAATGCCGCAGAGGTCAGAAGAGGGCTTCAGATTCCTCTGGAACCCCCCATCCCTTCCCTTATTAAAAAAAAAAATGTTTTGAGGGTCTGGAGAGATGGCTCAGCACTAACATACTTACATACATGCAGGCAATACACTTTCATACATGCAGGCAATACACTTTCATACATGCAGGCAATAGACTCATACACATAAAATATTTTTTAAAAATGCTTTGATTGGCCAGGCATGGTGGCGCACGCCTTTAATCCCAGCACTCAGAGGCAGGTGGATCTCTGTGAGTTCGAGGCCAGCCTGGTCTACATAGCGAATCCAGGCCAGCTGGGGCTACAGGGAGACCCTGTCTCAAAAAGACCAAAAAAAAAAAAAACCTTTGATTGATTGATTTTTATCCTATGTGTATGAATGTTTACCTGCATGTATGTAAGTGCATCACTCCACATGCAGACAATGCCCAGGAGCCCAGAAGAGACAGTCAGTCCCCTGGAACTGGAGTTATAAATGGTTGTTAGCCACTGTGTAGGTGCTGGGAACCCTGTGTAAGAACAGCCAGTGCTTGTAAACAACAAGCCAGCTCTCCAGCCCCAGCCCTTATTTATTTTTGTTTGGGGACAATCTCACCATACAGCTCAGGCTGACCTGGAACTCCTGGCAATCCTACCTCCGAGCACTGCTCTGCCACACCCGGCTTCCCCTGAGTTCTTGGTTCCTCCTTCTCCACGGTTCCTGCCTCTGAAGGTCTGTGACTTTTGGGTGGCGTCTTTTTCCTCCTTTGAGCCCCAGTGGCCACAGCCAACACTCAAGAGGAGAAACCCAGCTGCACTCCAGCTTCCCCACACGGCAGGAGACTTTAGCCCAGGAGGTGGGAGGGGACACAGGGTCAGGGGAAAGAAGGCCTTAAACTTGGCTACATGGGTGCATTCTGTTCTGAATAAATAGGAAGGAGTGGCTGGGGTGGGGGGGGGTGTCCCTCCACAGTCCTTTGAACTCATCTGCCTCAAGAAAAGTCCCTAAGGGATCCAGGGTGGCCTGTGGGTGACACCAGGTAGGGCACTACAGAGAGAGGAGGTGTTAGAACTTTGAAATAGTGGCCCACATCCATCACCCCAGTGCTCAAGAGGCTGAGGCAGGAAGGTCAAACTGGTCTGGGATCAACAGCAAGACCCTCTCTCAAAACACAAGAACCAGCGGGGAGTGGTGGCACACTCCTTCAACCCAGCACTCAGGAGGCAGAGGCAGGTGGATCTCTGTGAGATTCAGGCCAGCCTGGTCTATATAGCGAGTTCCAGGCCAGCTGGGGCTACAGGGAGACCTCATCTCAAAAAACAAAATAAGACATATGAGAATCATCTTCAAGCTGAGGCTGCAGCTGTTTGTAGAGTGCTTGTAGCTCATTTGGTAGAGTGCTTGCAGCTCAGTTGGCAGAGTGCTTGCAGCTCAGTTGGTAGAGTGCTTGCAGCTCAGTTGGTAGAGTGCTTATATCTTGGTAAGTTACAGCATAGTTGGTAGAGTGCTGGTAACTCAATTGGTAGAGTATTTGTAGCTCAGTTAGTAGAGCATTCACCTAGCACCCTGGGTCCGGGGCTGGGATTCAGTGGTTAAGAACACTGGTTATTGTTGGAGAAGACCCAGGTTCAAAACCCAGTATCCACATGGCAGCTAACAACTGTCGGTAACTCCAGTCCCAGGGGATCTGACAGCCTCTTCCGACCTCTGTGGGCATTGCACAACACGGGTGCACTTACCTACATGCAGGCAATACACGCATAGACATAAAATAAAAATAATAAATAAAATTTTAAAAAAAAAGCTCTGGTCCGTCCCCTACACCAATCAGGTGTAGTGGTGTACACCTGTCACCCCAGCACTTGGGAGGCAGAGGCAGGAGGATCGGGAGATCAGGGTCATCCTGGGCTACATAGTTTAAGGCTAGCCTGAGCAACACAAGACTTTTATAGAGTCATCTTCACTTGAGCCAGCTTTTTGCCTTTGTAGGTTGCCAGGCCCCGCCCTTCCCTGTGGCAACCCACCTTCCCTTAAGCACAAAGCCTCCTTCATGTCCCAGGGCGGCCCAGCAGCTGTGTCTGCGGAGGGCCAGGGAGGAGTGCTGTGGCTGCTTTCCTGTTATTAAAAATACACCTTAGGGGACAATTGGGAAGAAACTGGTGCGGATTCTGTTCTGGTTGCCGCTTGCTCCTACTTCATGTGTGAGCGCATTCGCAGGGATGCCCCAGGTCAGGCTCAGTATCTTCCTCAGCTAATCTCTGCCTGGTTTTTATTTGTTTGCTGTAGTTCTTTTCTTGTTGTTTTATTTTTCAGAAAGGACCTACCTCCCTGTAGCCGAGGCTGGGCTGGAACTCACTATGCATACCAGTCCTGGGTAGATTTCACAGAGATCCTCCTACCTCTGCCTCCCAAGTGCTAGGGTTAAAGGAGCGCACCATCACACCTGGCCTTTGTTATTTTTTAAATACATTATATTTTATTTATTATTGTCAAAGAACAACTTTCAGGAGTCGGTTCTCTCCTACCACGGGAACCAGGATCAAACTCATGTTGTCCGGCTTGGCTGCAGTCCCCTTCACTTGCTGAGCTACTTGCTTTTTGAGACAGGGTCTCACCGTAGCCCCAGCTGGCCTGGAATTCACTGTGTAAACCAGGCTGAACTTGAACTCACAGATATCTACCTGCCTCTGCCTCCTGAGTGCTGGAATTAAAGGCCTGTGCCACCACGCCCAGCTTAGCCTTTTTCTTTTTAAGAGGCAAGGTCAAATGTAGGCCAAGCTGACCCGCAACTCACCATATAGTCAAGGATGACCCTGAACTCCTGGTCCTCCTGCCTCTACCTCCTGAGTGGTGAACACCACAACTGACTTTCCTGCACAGCATTTTATGTGGGTTGTAGGGATTGAACTCAGGTTGTCAGGCTTGGCAGCAACCCCCTTCAACCGCTGAGCCCTCTCACTGGCTGCCCCCGGCCCTCTTTCTGCTTTTTACTTTGAGACAAGGTCTCTTGTAGCCCAGTTCACCATAGCTTTGCAACCCTCCTGCCTCAGTTTCCCTTCAGACCACACTGGGGCATGCACTGGTCAGGGTACTCCTGAACCCTGACTCATGAGAACCCTCTCCCTCTGTCCCCACAGCCCACATTGCTATATCACCCGAGGGCTCTGACATGGCCTCCGTGCAGCAGCAGAGACGGGAGCAGAGCTACTTTGTGCGCCTGGGCTCGCTGTCTGAGAGGCTGCGCCACCACGCCTACCAGCACTCCCTTGGGAAGCTGCGCAGAACACGGCAGGGGGCACAGGAGGCGCTGCAGCAGCTTGTCCATGGGCTGAGTCTGGTAAGCCCAGGGGTGAGGGTAGGGCTGGTGGACTCCCTCCAGCATCTGCTCTCCATGAGCTGTGCTCACCCTGCAGTAAGAGCCCTAGGCAGATCCCCTGGGCTCGCTCCATTCTGCATTGTGTATCAGTCAGTTCAGGCTGTGGAACAAAGAGCACAACACAGACAACTGAACCAGAAACATTCATTTCCCACAGTCTGGGAGGCTGATGTGCAGGTTCAAACAGAGGCAGCAGGACTTTGATATAAGAATTTGGGGACATCATCTAGACTGTCCCCACCATTCATTTCTGGAACATTCCCTACACTGAAGCTCAGTTCCCATTCTACCTTGACTGACTCCATCTGCTCCCCACTCCCTAACACCCACCATCACATTTCCTATCTCTGTGGCTTTGATGACTCTAAGGACCTCCTGGGAGTTTGTCCTTCTGTTTCTGGCTCAAGTCAGTGGGCACCGTGTCAAGGGTCTTCTACTCCCCCACAGTGGAGCTCATATTAGACTAACTGCTTTTCATGGTTGAGTAATACTTCACTGCATGTATTTTTTTTTCAGCCATTTATCATATGCCATTGGCCAAAGGCAGTCATGTGACCAGGCCCACTGCCAGGGGAGGGAAAAGTAGACTGTGGAGAACAAGGCAACTTTTTTCGGGGGGGGGGTCTTTTTGAAACAGGGTCTCCCTGTAGCCCCAGTTGGCCTGGTACTATGTAGACCAGGCTGGCCTCGAACTCACAGAGATTACCTGCCTCTGCCTCCCAAGTGCTGGGATTAAAGGCATGTGCCACCACTCCTGGCCCCAAGGCAACTTTTTAGCTGCCACTGACCACAGGCAAAGATAGTGAGTTAATGTTCAAACCAAACCCTGCAGAGATGGCATCTGTTGCCATAGTTACCAGGTCTGGCCTGAACAGCATCCCTTCTCCCACTGTCCCCTGTCTGGAACCCACTCTCCCGGGCTGATCTGAGTATGACGCAGCACCTCCCCCTGCCCCCAATGTGTTTCCTGCAGATGGAATCCGTGAAGCAGGGTGTGAATCAAACACTGGGTGAGGGTCAGGGGAAAATCCATCAGATGTGGCTCACCTGGAGCCAGAAGACACCCCAGGATGCTGAAAAGGATCCAGCCAGGCCTGAGGTACCCATGGGGGTCATGTGGGGCTGTGGGGTCCCCATGTTGTTCTCTACATTCTGTGCTGGGGACAAGGTCTGTCTATAGTGATTCCTGTACCTGAGCCTCAAGTTGTCAGAAGGGCTGCTTGTGCCCCAGAGCTGCGGATAGAACCATGCTTCATGGAGTTCTGAACCCCTGTTCTGTTTGGGCTTTGCTTCCTAATTTACTATTATTATTATTATCATTGTTTTTATTATTACTGTTTTGAGACAGAGTCTCACTATATAGCCCTGAGTAGCCTGCAACTCACTCTATAGACCAGGCTGGCCTTGATCTCACAGAGACCCACCTGCCTCCCGAGTGTTGGGGGTCATAGGCTTGAGAACCATTCCTGCCCTCTTGTTACTTATTTTGTGTGTGTGTCAGCACATGTGTGTGGAGGTCAGAGGACAGCAGCAGTCAGCACGCGTGTGGAGGTCAGAGGACAGCAGCAGTCAGCACGCGTGTGGAGGTCAGAGGACAGCAGCAGTCAGCACGCGTGTGGAGGTCAGAGGACAGCAGCAGTCAGCACGTGTGTGGAGGTCAGAGGACAACTTGCAGGAGTCAGTTCTCACCTTCCACTACGTGTCAGTCCTTGGGATTAAAATCAGGTCCTCGGGCCCTGAACCTTCCCCAGCCCTTATGGTCTTTTTTTTTTGGCTGTGTTTTAACTGGGTCTCTCTAGTCACAGCCCACCTGGAAGTCACAATGTGAACCAGGGTGGCCTCCATCTTGCCTGTGCCTCCCGAGGGCTGGGATTAAAGGCGCACGCCAGCACGCCCGGCGTGGTCTCATCTTTTGTCCGGTGTTGTTTCTTGCCAGCTTATGTCCCCTCTTCTTTCCTGTGCCTATCGTAGCGTTCTGAGTTTTGCTTCCCGGTGACGTCAGGTGCTAACCATCTTTTGTGAGTCCATGTCTCTTACTATTTGAAAGACCTTGCTTTTAAAACAAGTGACAGGTGCCTTGCTCCTAGTTCTAAATGCAAGGCTCAGAATTCCTTTCTGCCCCGGGATGGACCCTGGTCAAGGTCCCTGTCCCTCGGGTGGGCCTGACCCAGCCCTGTCTCTCCCTCCTCATAGATGGAGTCTCGGGTTCTCAGCATCTTCAGGGACACAGCCCAGCAGCTGCAGAATGCATGCACGGCCCTGGGGGCCAGCATCCAAGGCCTGCCCAGCCATGTGAGGGAGCAGGTGCAGCAGGCCCGGGGTCATGTCAGTGAGCTGCACGCCACCTTCTCCGGCATCCACTCCTTCCAGGACCTTTCAGCCGGTGTGCTGGCCCAGAGCCGAGAGCGCCTGGCTCAGGCCCGGGAAGCCCTCGACTCTACGGTGGAATACGTGGTACAGAACACACCAGTCATGTGGCTGGTGGGACCCTTTGCCCCTGGAATCACTGAGAAGGTCCCGGAACAGAAACAGTAGGGTTGGCTCATAGGCAGCTGCTTGGAACCCCCTTTTCCTAATGATCTAAACTGAGCAGCTCCTCACCCTCCCTCAGTCTGAAGGAAACAGTTTCCCATCAGTCCTTTGAAGTAAAAAAAGAAAAAAGAAAAAAAATTCTAGAATGTTCTCCAAAAAATATTTCTTAAAAAGAAATTAAGGTAATCAGTTGTGATCACACACACCCATCATCCCAGCAGAAGTGGGATGATCAAGACTTCAAAGCCAGCCTCAGCTCAAAATAGATCAGGGTATAGTAATATTCCATCTCCTTTCCTACATCATGGCCTGAAGTAGTGGGCGCAAGGTGGCGACTTGAGATCTGAAATTTGTGAAATTTGTTTCGGATGAGAAATGGGCTGTCAGAAGTGCCAGCTTTCTCAAACACCCTGTAGTTAATATTGCCTTAATAAATTTAACATGTGGGAAAGTATGGTCAGTCTGTATTTTTTTTTCTCAGCGGCTGGGGTTCTTGGGTTCTTCCCTTTCTTGTTTTGCTCTCGAGGGTCCCGATCTTCCCACCCCATGTGCTGGGGCTGGGGGTGGCAGGGACTCCCCAGCTGCCTGCTTCTTCTGCGCTGTGCATTGCTTGCGGAGAGAAGTAAGGGTTAGTGTGGTCTGAGGAAAAGGACCCCCATGTATGTCCCTGTTAGGCCCCCTTGGACTTTAAGTGATGTCAGTTCACTAGGCAAAAGGGACTTTGTTGCTTCAGGAGGGCGTGACTCGGGCCAACTTTCCAGGCTCAAAGTCCTGAGTCTGGTAACAGAGGGGGCTTGCAAGGTGGGCATACCTGTCATCCCAGCACTCAGGAAGTAGAGGCAGGAGGATCAGGAGTTCATGGGCTATGTAGGGAGGCCAATCTTAGCTGCACAAGACCCTGCATCAAAAAAAAGAGGGGAACTGGAGAGCTGGCTCAGCAGTTAAGCGCACTGGCTGCTCTTGCAGAGGACCTGGGTTTGGTGGGTACCTACCCACACTGTGGCTAACAACCATCTGTATCTCCAGTTCCAGGGGATCCGACACCCTCTTCTGACCGTAGGCATTGCATGACAGGTCTGCACTTACATACATGTAGGCTTATACGCATAAAATAAAAATATTTATACACATAAAAATATGTTTTTAAAAAACAAAAATAAGCCAGGCGTGGTGGCGCACGCCTTTAATCCCAGCACTTGGGAGGCAGAGGCAGGCAGATCTCTGTGAGTTTGAGGCCAGCCTGGTCTACATAGTGACTTCCAGGACAGCTGGGGCTACAGGGAGACCCTGTCTCAAAAAGACCAAAAAAAAACCCAAAAAAACAAAAACAAAAAAAAAGGTGGAGAGTCACCAAGTAACAGTCTCTGACGTCCACACAGATGTACAAGCATATGCACAGAGACAGCTACCAACCAAAGGAAAACATACAAAAGTCATTGTGATCGGTGCTCCCGACAGGCTGTGCAGATCTCTGAGTTTGAGGCCAGCCTGGTCTACATAGTGACTTCCAGGACAGCTGGGGCTACAGGGAGACCCTGTCTCAAAAAGACCAAAAAAAAACCCAAAAAAACAAAAACAAAAAAAAAGGTGGAGAGTCACCAAGTAACAGTCTCTGACGTCCACACAGATGTACAAGCATATGCACAGAGACAGCTACCAACCAAAGGAAAACATACAAAAGTCATTGTGATCGGTGCTCCCGACAGGCTGTGAACTTGGAGACACCGTACTCAATGACCTAACTCAGGCACACCTGTCTAGAATCCCCCAGTGAGGGGTCAGGGACATGGCTCAGGGGTGGAGTGACAGCCTAGGATCCCCCAGTGAGGAGCCATGGGTGTGGCTCAGGGACAGGGTGACAGCCTAGAGTCTCCCAGTGAGGGGTGGGGTGTGGCTCCATGGTGAGTGATTCTCTAGCATAGGCAAAGTCCCCGAGTTCAGTTGTAAACAGGGAAGGCAGTAATGGTCATACATTGTCCCCCTCCCTCACCCACCTATTCACCCAGTTCCGCATCCCTATCCACTATGAACCGCTTCTCTTTTCTCATTTCACATTTTTAGTTTCCTGTTTTAAAATGAGCTAGGCTGAGTCCATCATAACTATAATTCGACCGTTCTAGAGGTTTATACAGGATAGCTGCAAGTTCCAGGCCAGCCTGATCTACATAACCTTTATCAAAATATCAAACATGCAAAAAAACTCAATATTTTTTTAATTTTTTTTTTTTTTTTTGGTTTTTTTGAGACAGGGTCTCCCTGTAGCTCCAGCTGCCTGGAACTCACTCTGTAGACCAGGTTGGCCTCAAACTCACAGAGGATCCACCTACCTCTGCCTCCCGAGTGCTGGGATTAAAGGCAGGTGCCACCATACCTGGCATAAAAAAATTTTTTTTCAGTTTTTATTTTATGTGTATGAGTGTTTTCCCAGTAAGTGCACCTATGTTGTGTACTGCCCATGGGGGCCAGAAGAGGGCAGCCAGTCCCCTGGAACTGGAGTTACAGATGGTTCTTAGCTGCCATGTGGATGCTGGGAACCAAATCTGGGTCCTCTGCAGGAGCAGCCAGTGCTCTTAACTGCTGAGCCTCTCTCCAGCCCATTTTTGCTGTTGTTATTGTTGTTTTTCTTTCTTTTCCTTTTGTCTTTTTGAGACAGGGTCTCCCTGTAGCCCCAGCTGGCCTGGAACTCGCTATGTAGACCAGGCTGGCCTGGATCTCACAGACATCTGACTCCCAGATGCTGGGATTAAAGGTGTGCACCACCATGCCAGGCTATGAATTTATTTTTTAAGACAAGGCTGTGTATCACAGGCTTCCCTGAACTCACAGCAATCCTCCTGCCTCAGCTTCCTGTGTGCTGGGGTGATGGGCCAGGTTTGGCAAACAGGGAGGGTATCTGTGAACTTAGCCACTTCGTGTTTGTGGGTCCCGAGACTGTCACTGAGGTCTGAGGCCACAGTTTCCAGTCTCTGAATGGGGTCTGTCCCTCCTATTCCCCAGTCTGCTGTCACAAGCAGTTGCTGCACAGACTGGCTCCATGCGTTACTGTGCACTTGGCAGCGGAGGGCAGGGCCTGGCTGGGGCACCCTGGGGACTTTCCCCTGAGCTGGGGTGGGACTGCAACTGAGCTCATTGACTCCTCCCACACCCGGAAGGGACAGCACTGTCCCTGCCTCCCTCCACTTCCCCCTCCTTCTCCTCCAGCCATTACCACGGGGCACACAGCCGTCCACTAGCCCAGGACCCCCAAAGCCAGGTAGGTGGGAGGCAGAGGGGATACAGGGTACAGGGCCAGGAGGGACTTGGCCACCCTGGGGTTACTCCGGGGTCCCCAACTACAGTCCTCCAGTCCTGTCCCCTCCATGCCTGGATCCACAGCCCATCCTCCAACCCCTGATCCCCCAGCCTAGACCCCTGACCCTCTGATCTCCAACCCCAGAGGAACCCCAAGTCCCTAGACATTCCGAACCCCAGGTCTCCATTTCCCCATCCCCAACCTTGTTCCCAAACCCCCATACTCCCCAGGGACTCTTGATTTCTTCCCCAAACCTGTTCTAACTCAGTGCCTTCCTGCAGCTCTGGAGGACAGACCATGATAGATTCCTCCACCTTTGGGGGCACCTCCTCCCACAATTGCCCACCCGGGATTAAGCCTGGGAGCCTTGCCAAGTTCCCAGGCAGCACTGAATGGCCCTGTCCACAGGCCAAGGTTGCCAGCAATCATTGGGGGAGGTGTGCCCTGTGTGACCAGAGGGGGAGGGGACAGGGAAGGGACACAGGACTGAGGAAAATGTGAAGCAGAGATGTGAGGGCATCTATTTCTGCCAAAGGGAGACCAGGAATGACCATCCATCCATCCATACACCCATCTACCTGACCATCCATCCATCTACCCATCCATCCATCACCCATTCATTCATTCATTCATGTCTTTCTTCACATTTCCTACTGTGAGGAGGAAACACTGTTCAGCATGTTGGACACACAGTAGGGTCAGTCATGATGCCATCATGGCACTTACTGTCAGGACAGGAAACCCTGTCAAGGGTCCCCAAGCCTGGAGCATGGAGATCCATCTTCATTCATCCCAGGTTACTGGGCTGCAGGAAGCTTGCACTTAGTAGGCCCTGATAAAAATGCACCAGTGCTGGGTTGGTAGTTTATACTTTCAATCCTAACAGAGGGCAGCCTGGGCTACATGAGATTTTGTGTGTTCATTGATTTGTTACATCAATAAACCTCTCCCTGCCCCCTTCTGGCACTGGGATTTGAACCCAGGACTTCATAAATGTCAAACAAATACTCTACCAACCAAGTTACATCCCCAGCCCTCAGCATTTATTAAGCACCTACTGTGTGCCACATACTCTGAATGTCCTGTCATATCCATGTCCTGTCCCTGGAGAATCACAAGATTGGTGTGTAGTCATGTAGGAAGTGATGGACAGCCAACAATATTAGGTAAAAATTAGTATCAAGAGGTGAGGAAGTAACAGGAGTGAAATCAGGCAGCGAGTGTGTGCAGGTGGATGTGAGCTCCATCTGGATGGGCACTGGAGGGGAAGGGGAACAGGCCCTGGGGAAGTCTGGGGAAGGGGTGCTGTGCCAAGGCCCTGAGGTAGGACGGAGCCTGTTTAAGGGGCAGTGCAGCGGACAGAACACGGGGAACATAGGGAGACATGGAGAATACCTGGTCAAAAGAATCGACCCTCAAACACCTTGCATGTTTTTGTTTTGTCCACCCGGTCCGGTCCTGTTGGCTCTGCCTGGCCTCTCCCTTGCCACCAGAATCCAGGTCAGCTCCCTCCCTCTGCCTACAGCCCTCCAGGGCTCCCACCTTCCTCCAAGTCAAAGCCCAAGTCTTCCCTGCAGCCCACAGGGTCTTCCCCACCCTGCATATCCTCTGAGTCCTTCCTTTGTCTCTGCCCTCCCTCCATCTGCTGACAGTCATGCGGACCTCCTGGTTGCTCCTTCCTCACCCCAGCTCTGTCCCTGCTGCTGGGCCTTTGCACGGCCCTCCCGGTGTGTCCTTGGGTTGGCTTCCTCAGCTTTTCTGTGGCTCTCTTCTCATCTTGTTCTGTTCCACCTCCTGATTGGTCCTTGGGACCCTGCTGTGCAAACCTGCAGAGACAAGCTTCCATCCTTAGAGTTCTCTACTGATCTCCCAGCCACACTGATGGGCAGCTGACCCACAGTGACCCCAGCAGGCCCTCAGAGGTGTTTTTGTGTTTCTGCTGGTCCCCCTTTCTGCTCACTTTCCATGCACACAGGACTGCTTGCATTGTCCCAGCAGCAACAGACAGCCCACTTTGGTCTCCTTCCCTGACTCAGGCCTCTTCTGGCCACTTCTCAATTATCTTCCTGGTCTGCCATCTTTGGTCAACTCCAATCACATAGCTCCATGCTGGCTCCGCCCACTGTCTTTAGACCTCTGCCTGAATTCTTTGACCCAGGACACCACACCTGCTCAAAGTCAATTTTTAAAAACCTCAAGTCAAGACGGGCGTGGTGGGGCATGCCTTTGATCCCAGCACTTGGGAGGCAGAGGCAGAAGGTCTCTGAGTTCAAGGCCGGCCTGGTCTACATAGTGAGTTCCAGGACAGCTGGGGCTACAGAGAGACCCTGTCTCAAAAAGACCAAAAAAAAAGCCTAGGATTTTCCCTGGGCACCACAGACACGCAGGTGGGTCCTTCTCTATGGAGTGTCCTGGCCTCCACCTGTCCCCAGTGATAGCCTCACTGGTTCCCAGCTGAGAGGCTGGGGGGGTGCGGGGCTGACTGAGGGACAGTGGCCAGCCATGTCCCAGGGTGTCCTACAGGGCAGGACAAGTCTCCTGGGCTTCCAGAAGGCTCTACGGACAGGTTACAGGAGTGGACTGCCCACCCAAGGGTCACTGAGGGCGCTTCAGATTTCTAACGAGGACTTTGTGCTGGCTCATTCACTCATTCACTCATGTATCTTTCATCTGCCAGACCTGGTTTATAGGGTGTTGAGGATGGAACCCCAGGGCTCTGGGCATGCTAGGTGACACCCAAATCAGGTCCTCTGGCCTCTGCCTTTTGCTTTTTTTCTTTGCCGTAGGATCTCACTGTGTAGCCCAAGTGGCCTGGAACTCACAGAGATCCACCTGTGTCTGCCTCCAAGTGCTGAGAGGACAGGTGTGGCCACTACACCTGGCAAAGCCGTTTCTGAGACAGTCACCCTGTGACCCTTTCTGCTCCCACAGGTCTGCTGTGCCCCCCTCCAGGAGCCCGTGCACAGTGCAGTACGGGTGCCGGGGTGGGAGGGAGGCAGCCTGACCAGAACATGTCTCCACCTGCCCCAGTCTCTGCCTGTCCAGGCCTCTCCAACCCTCGCCCATGGCCAGCCCCGGCCCATCGCTTCCTGGAGCGTTTGGCATTCTAGAAGCCGTGGACAGGGACAGGCTGATTCTCCTGAAACACAAGTTAAGGACGCTCCCACCAGGCTGCCAGGGAGCCAAACTGCTGCATGCCATGGTCCTCTTGACTCTGGGCCAGGACACAGAGGCCAGGATCTCTTTGGAGACACTGAAGGGGGACACGGTGGCCCAGCTGTTAGCCCACCAATGGGCCGGCATGGACAACGCTGAGACACCCGAGGAACCCTCAGATGTGGCCTGGACTGTGGCCCGGCTGTATCACCTGCTGGCAAAGGAGAGCCTGTGTCCAGCTTCCATGAGGGACATGGCCTACGAGGTGGCCCTCAGTGACCTCACCTCCCGAGGTGACCACCGGCTGGGCCAACTGCAGGCTGAGGCCAGGGATCGGCATGGTTTGGACATCGTGGGGGACCCTGGTGGCTTCCAGCCACTCCATTCGGATCTGGGCTGCCTGCCTCCACCTTCAGCATCCCCATCAGTGGCCAGGAGCCAGCCTCTTCCCATCCACCAGTCCAACTGGAGCCCGGGTTGTTCCCTGCGCTCCACGGGCAGCCCTGGGTCCCTCAGTCGCCACTTGGCCATCAGCCAGTCACCTACCTTGCCCTTTCTCGGTCCCCACCGTGGCAGCCATGGGCTCAGCAGACTCTGTGACACACCCCCGGCCAACCCTGAACCCCAGCCTGTCCCCATTGGGGGCCAGGAACCTGAGGAGGTAAGCTGGCCCCCGTGCACAGAGATGGTCACCCCTTTGGAGCTACCAGGCAGAATCAGAGACCCCGAGGTGGCCCTAGCCACCCTCCATAACTCCCAGGCTCCAGACAATAGTGGCCATGATGTGGTTGAATCCACTGAGGTGACCACTGACCCCAAGTCTCTCCAGCTTTCCACCATGGAAGACACTGGAAAGCTAGAGTCTGTTATAAGCCAGGTGTCATCCCAGGTTTCTGTAGGAAGTGATGCTCTGCAAAACACCACATCCAGTCCCCCTGCACCGCCGTCGCCCCAACAAACCTCCCCACATGCGCCTCCCCCTTCTTCCCCTTCCTCTGCCTCTCCCTCCTCCAGCAGCCATCCTCCTCCGATGTCCTCCTTATCCCCTCCTCCCGGCCACTCAGAGACATCTGAGCAGAAATTCTATAACTTCGTGGTCATTCACGCCAGAGCAGATGAACACATAGCCCTGCGTGTCAGGGAAAAGCTAGAGCGTCTAGGGGTACCTGATGGGGCTACCTTCTGTGAAGACTTCCAAGTGCCAGGGCGGGGCGAGTTGAGCTGTCTCCAGGATGCCATTGACCACTCGGGGTTCATGGTACTGTTGCTGACCGCCAGCTTCGACTGTCGCCTGAGCCTGCACCAGGTCAACCAGACCCTGATGAATAGCCTCACACAGTCCGGAAGGCAGGACTGCGTGATCCCCCTCCTCCCACTGGAGTGCTCCAGGGCCCATCTGAACCCTGACACGGTGGGACTCCTCACAGGCCTGGTGTGGCTGGATGAGCACTCCTCCATCTTCACCAGGAAGGTGGCCAATACCTTCAAACCCCACAAGCTCCAGGCACACAAGGCACGTTGGAAGAGAGAGCAGGAAGCCAAGATCCTCAGGGAGCACAACCAGCAGCTGGATGCAGAGAGACAGCGGGTGGCCTCCATCCACACAGCATACTCCACCTATGTCCAGAGCTGCTGGGCCTGGCAGGCGCAGATGGACAGTCTGAGGATGGCCTTTGGGAAGGACTTGGCACTGGGGAGTCAGGGACCCCTCGGGGGTCCGTCACCCATCCCCGCCTGGCTAGGATGCCCACAGAATCTGCTATATACACAGCAGAGAGGTAGCCAGGTGCCACCCTCATTCCCACAGCCCCCTCCATCCTTCCTGCAGCCTCCCATGTCTTCACCACAGTCCCCCCACTTCCCACCAACCTCTCCACTGGCCCAGACCCCCGGAACTCAGCCTCTCATTATTCACCATGCACAAATGGTTCAGCTGGGGGTTAACAACCACATGTGGGGCCAGACAGGGAACCCTGGGCCTGATGATAAGACTGAGTGACCTACCTAGATCTCTAGAGTGATCAGGTTAGACCCTGCCTGGGGCCCCAGAGTGACCAGGTTGGACCCTCTCTGGGTCTCCCTTATGACCGGGTTAGACCCGACCTGAGACCCTGGAGTGACCAGGTTGGAAGTCACTCCTACCTGACTGGATCTCTCTTATGATCACGTTAGACCCCTCCTGGGACCCCAGTGACTAGGTTGGACAATGCCTGGGTCCAATTTTGGGCAGGGCCTTTTGGGAGCCCCCCCCCACCCTGTTTCCTCCAGAGGGACGGAGGACAATGGGTCCAAGTGACTTCATCTGAGGACGTCCCCAGCCAGGCCACTTTCTCTCCACTCCACTATAACTGCAGCTCAAGGGGTCTCTTATTCTCTGGGGCGGTTTGGGTGCTGGGGGGACATGGCGAGGGCCTTCGCAGTATAATAAATATTTATTCAAAGTTGATTCCGGCGCCACTGTCCCCTGGGGGGAGGAGTTACCCACCCCACAGTACTCTACGGCTATCACAAGGTGAGGCCCCCCCCATTTCCGCCCTGGCTGGAACCGGAAGAGAGAAACGCAAGGCCGCCCTTTAAGGGGAAGCAACCGGAAGTTGCGAAAATGACTCCTCCATTGGTCAGCGGGAATCACGTGCCCGCCCACTGCAAGCGCCTCTGGGAAATGTAGTCTTTTGCGGGCAGGGGCCAAGTTTAGAAAGTTAAAGCCAGAGACAGTGGAGGGAAAAAGACATCCAGGAGTTTGGGCAGTTTTACATTTATTTATGTAGTATGTGTGCATGCTCCAGGGCATATGTGTGGTGCTCAGGGGACAGCCTGCAGGAATCGGGTCGCTCTTGTTCATGTGGGTCCTGGGCTTGGAACTCAGGTCCCACATAAGGCTTGGCGGCAAGCCCCTCTATCCGCTGAGCCCCTCTCCCCTTCCTTCCTTCCATATTTTAAAAAAGAAAATTTTTTTTTTCATTTATTTTTGGCAGTTTGATGATTTTTTTTTTTTTTCGAGAGAGGGTCTCACTATGCTCACTATGTAGCCCCAACTGGCCTGGAACTTGCTATGTAGATAAGGCTGGCCTTGAACTCAGAGATCAGTCTGCCTCTGCCTTCCACGTGCTGGGGCACCATGCCCACTCATTCTTGGTTGTATTTTATTTATTTTTAATTATTTATTATTTTTTAACTATTTTACTATTTTATGTGTATGCGTGTATTGCCTGCATGTAGGTAAGTGCACCAGTGTCGTGTGCAATGCTGGAGGAGGACAGTAGAGGCTGTCGGAGCCCCTGGAACTGGAGTTACAGACAGTTGTTAGCTGCCATGTGGGTTGTGGGATTTGAACCCAGGCCTTCTGCAAGAACAGCTAGTGTTCTTAACCACAGAGCCATCTCTCCAGCCTCTATTTTTATTTTATGTGTTTGTATGAGTATTTTGTCTGCATGTATGTAAATTCACCTGTGTCCTACAAAACCTACAGAGGCCAGAAGAGGGTGTGTGATTCCCTGGACCTGGAGTTATGGATGGTTGTTAGTCGCCATGTGGGTGCTAGGACTCAAATCTGGATCTTGTGCAAAAGCAGCCAGTGCTCCTAACGTCTGTGCCAGCCCTCCAGCCCCATTCTTGAGGTTTTAATGCATCCATGCATCTCCACCCTCCAAATGAGCCTCTGTGAAACGTGAACCAGCTTTACAGATGGAGAAAACGGAGGCCCAATGTGGAATTCTGGCTCCTAGTGTCACTGTAGTTAGAAGTAGGGGAGTGTAGTGGGAGAAGTCAGCCTGCCAAGAAGGGGAAGGAGGGCGGGCAGCTGCCACCCCTCCAACAACAGCGGGTCTGAAGACTGCTGCAGGCATCTGCTCTGCTGCCTGGAGGTGAGGGGAGCCAGGCGGGTGAGTCACCGCCTGCTTGCTATTTTTGTCTGAGTCAGAGTCTGTCAGAGTAGCTCTGCCCATGGTGGCCCTGAAGTGAAATTCAGTGTGAGGGATCACAGTTCTCAGATTAGATTGGGGGGATGCAATGTCCTCTGACCTTCCAGGCCCCAGCTAGCTGCAAGTCCCTTGCAGGAAACTGGTCATCTGTCCATTTGACACATGTATATTGAGCATCTACTGTATGTGGACTGTCCCAAGTACTGGGACACAGCTGGGGGGGGCGGAATGTGTGCATCTGATGGGTTCTTAGTTGTGGGGCTGCATGGTAGGGGAGGGTGAGGAAGGTTCTGAGGAAGGTTGCACAGGGTTTTCTAAAGTGACTGGGAAGTGGTGGGTGAGTGGGAGAGCCAGCCACTAGCAGAGGGGCCACAGGGGTGCTGGAGCCCTGGAAGGCAGGAGAGGGACACAGCTCATAGGAAGAACTGGAGGTGGTGAAGATCTGCGTCGCAGCTGTGCCAAGGGCCCAGGGCTGGACAGAGCTTGGGGTGTTAAAGGAGCAGAGGCACCCAATGGCAGAGGGGGGCAGAGAAGGGATGGGGCAGGAAGGGACATAGAAGTCTGTGAATTCATTCCCTATGGAATTTTGGCAGACCAGTGAAATAGCTCAGCAGGTAAAGGTGCCACCAAGCCTGATGACCTGATTCAATCCTGGGAGCCTTGGTGGAGAATCAGCTCCTACAAATTGTCTTTTGACTTCCACACATTTGTGCGCCCACGCAGGAAATAAATGTAATTTTTTTTTGTTTTTTTTTTTTTTTTTTTGGTCTTTTTGAGACAGGGTCTCCCTGTAGTCCCAGCTGTCCTGGAACTCACTATGTAGACCAGGCTGGCCTTGAACTCACAGAGATTTACCTGCCTCTGCCTCCAGAGTGTTGGGATTAAAGGCGTGCGCCACCATGTCCAGCACAAATGTAATTTTTTAAAAAATGAATGCTTTGCCGGGCATGGTGGCGCACGCCTTTAATCCCAGCACTTGGGAGGCAGAGGCAGGGGGGTCTCTGTGAGTTTACAGGCAGCCCGGGCTACAATGTGAGGTTCCGGAAGACAGGGGCCACAAGGGGACCCCGTCTCAAAAAGAAAAAAAAAAAAAAAAAAAAAAAAAAATTTTAAGCCAGGCCACAGTGGTGCACACCTGTCATTCCCAGCACTTGGGAGATAGAAGCAGGAGGGTGAAGAGCTAAGGCCAGAACAAATTACTTCATGAGTCTGAAGCCCCCCTGAGCTGTGGTATAGACCCCGTCTCAAAAAAATGCCAAAAAATTAATTTTTTTTTTCAAATTTGTTTGTGGTTCTGGGCAATGTCCCTGGGGCATCTCACCTGCTAGGCCAGTGCTCTACTGAGTAACAGCACCAGCTGTGACTCCAGTGAGTCATTATTGAGTGCCTATTGTGTGCAGAAGTGTGCTGGGTGTTCACAAAGTGGGTTTTATCAGACAGCCAGTGGCACCTGTGAATCAAGCCAGCAGCCGGGTTCAGCAAGTTGCTGCCTTAGGGCTGTGATGGGGCAAGGTGGTCGGTAGCAGGACTACAGGTTCCAGAGGGAGGAACTGAGGTTGGGGAGTGTGCTAGAGGGGATCTGAGCAGTGAAGCCCAGAGCTGGGGCAGAGGGTCAGGTGGTAGAGGGTCCCCAGAGAGATGGCTCCTGTAATATCCCACCCAATCACCCTGCACTCTGGTGGTCACATCAGTCAGAAATCTCAAAGTCCAGCCAGGGAAACCTGAAATTACTGTTTATTTTCTTTGTGTGAGTCTGTGTGCACATGTGGAGGTCAGAGGACAGCTTTCAGGAGTTGCCTCCCTCCTTCCACCATGTAGATCCTGGTGCTGAATTCAGGTCTTTAGGCTTGGTGGCATGCACCTGATGAACTCTGTCACCAGCTCTCTTACTAATTTTTTTTTTTTTTTTTTTTGGTGAGGCACAAGGAACAGGGTCTCACTATGCAGCCTCAGCTGGACTGGAACTTGCTATATAGACAACCTGGCCTCGATTTCACAGAGATTCAATTCCCTCTGCCTTTCAAGTGCTAGGACTAAAGGCATGTGCCAGCATGCTCAGGCCTTAATAGTTTATTTTACAAATGTTCTCTGGTTCTTCAAGCCCAGAGGTTGGTGTTTTATAAGAGGGTCACACAGTGTGTGCATGGGTGGTTTGTCCTGGACAGAACGGGTGAGCTGTGTTTGAATGTTTTTAAAAATATTTTATTTAAGCTGCGCATGGTGGTGCACGCCTGTAGTCCCAGCACTAGGAAGGCAGAGGCAGATGGATTTCTGTGAGTTCAAGGCCAGCCTGGTCTACATATTGAGTTCCAGGACAGCTGGGGCTTACAGGGAGACCCTGCTTCATAAAAAGACAAAAAAAATTATTTAAAAAACATATATTATGGGGCTGGAGAGATGGCTCAGCGGTTAAGAACACTGACTGTTCTTGCAGAAGACCTGGGTTCGAATCCCAGCACCCACATGGCAGCTGACAGCTGTCTGTAACTCCAGTTCCAGGGCATCCAACAGCCTCTGTCTTCTGCAGGCATTGCACGACACAGGTGCACTTACCTACATGCAGGCAATACACACATACACATAAAATAAAATAAATAAAATATTAAAAATATATATATTATTTAAATTTCATGTGTACGAGTGTTTCACTGCATGTATGTAAGTGCACCAGTGCCTGCGATGCCTTTGGAGGCCAGAAGATGTCAGATCCCCTGGAACTGGAGTTAGATGGTTGTTAGTCGCCATGTGGGTGCTGGGAACCAAACCTGGGTCCTCTGCAGGAGCAGCCAGTGTTTTTAACTGCCGAGCCCCTCTCCAGGCTCTGTTTGGCTTTTAAAAAAAACATTTATTAGCCAGGCATGGTGGCACACACCTGTAGTCCCAGCACTTGGGAGGCAGAGGTAGGCGGATCTCAATGAGTCCAAGGCCAGCCTGGTCTACATATTGAGTTCCAGGACAGCTGGGGCTACAGGGAAACCCTGCTTCAAAAAGACAAAGAAACAAACAAAAATACATTATTTATTTATTTGTGTGTGTTTATGTGCATAAGTCAAAAGATAACTTGAGTCAGTTCTTTCTTTCCACCCTGTGCCTCCTAGAAATTGAACTTGGGCCATTAAGTTTGGCAGCAAGCTCCTTTCCCCAGCCGAACCCTCTAGCCAGCCCCTCTGTCCTTTTCTTTATACTCTTACCTGGTTTCTGGTGGTTTTGAGGATGTCCTCATCCCTGTACTGGGGGTGGCCAGGGTCTAAATGACTCAGCACAGCCATCAACAGTCCCTCGTGGGCTCACATGCATGAGTTTTTGGATGACTAGAGTGATGCCTGGTCATTCTCAGCTTGTTCCAGAGTCATCTGCCAAGCTCCCCTCCCAGGCTTGTGACATACTGCTGGGCTCCAGTCCAAGGTCAGCCTGACCTGGCCCCAGCCAGCCCTGTGGGCCTCACACAGAGAAAGGAGGAAGATGTGGCCACTTTCTGGGTGGGGCCTTCTGGCCTCTGCCCACATATGGGCAGAGCTTTCTGGAAGGAGACAGCCCTGAGAGGGGCTTGGTGGGTTTTCTGGCATTTCTTTTGGGACCCTGTGGCTCTTCTCCCCCTCCCCCCAACCCCCAAACCACAAGATGTCACCATGACCTTGGGCTGGGGACAGCGGCGTCCCCTTTACCTCTATCCGTCCAAGCCGCCGTTGCAGCCCTGTGGCTCTCCCTGAGGTTCCTCTAACCTGCCCCAGGACCACATGAGCCACCTCTCGCCTCTCCCCACAGATCTCTACATGGCTCCCTGGTTACCTTCTTCCAGATTTTGCTCCAGCGTCAAGCTGTTGATGAGGACTGTCTGGAGAAGTTTAAAATCCATTGTTTTGGGGCTGAACAGACGACTCAGCAGGTAAATGTGCTGCATAAACACGAGGACTTGAGTTCAAATCCCAGAACATGAAAAGAGGCTGGCACGTCGGTGTGCCTGTGACTTCAGTTGGTAGAGTGCTTGTAGCTCAGTTGGCAGAGTGCTTCCCCAGGATGCACAAAGCCCTGGGTTCATCCCCAACACCCCATAAACCAGACATGGTAACGCATGCCTGTTACTCAGCACTTAGGAGCTGGAGGCAGGATCAGTAGTTTAGGGTCATCCTTGGCTACACAGTGAGTTTGAGGCCAGCCTGGGCTACATGAGACCCTGTCTCAAAATACCAAAACCAAAGTACATATAATTGGTTATAACACACATTTCAGTTCTGGTGGGGGTTGGAGAAAGTGCTGATGAGCCAGCAGCACCACCAGGGGGCACTTCAGGCAGCAGCTCCAGTCTCTCTGTGAGCCCCATCCCCAGATTCCTCTCCCCACTTGCTCCTGAGCCCCCAAGAGCCAGGGCTGCCAGAGAAGTGGCCAGTTCCTGCCCCTGCAGCCTGCCTAGGGTTTTGGCCCCCAGGAAATGACTACAGTGACGGCTACTGAATGCCTTCATTAGTGGGCACCACGGTGCTTGCTCTTCCTCATTCTCCAGGCAGAGAAACTGAGACACACTCTGAGACTGAACACCCTTTCTACAGTGAGACTGGAGCCCAGAGCGGGCAGTCACCTGCCCAGCGTCACACAGCAAATTTTTGCCTGAAGCAGTGGCTCCTGCAGTCCTGGGAATCCTCTGGCTCAGACACCAGGGTGAGGTCCTGCTATTTTTGACCTGTCCTGTGGCCCAAGTCTCTTGATAGCCCTGGGAGGTGGCCAGAGGGCCGGTTACAGGAGTTTCGCCTCTGGGCTCTCTGGGACTTAGCTTAGGCTCCCCACTTCCCTGTGACTTTCCTGGGTGTCAGGGACCCCCTAGCCAGGCCTTTGCTGGTTGATCCTCTTGCAGGCTGGCATGATGGCCATTTGGCTTGCTGCTGTGTGGCCAAAGCTCTCCGGGTCTCAAAGTTCACATGGGGCTTTCAGACGCTGATTCCAAATTTTGATTTTTTTTTAAGGTTGTAAGCCTGAACATTTAATGGCAAAACCATCCCTCCAACCCCCAAATTTTGATTAAAATTTTTTTAAAAATTAGCCTGGGAGTGGTAGCACACACATTTGATCCCAGCACTCAGCAGACAGAGACAGGAGCTCAAAACCAGGCTGGTCTGCATAAAGTTCCAGGCCAGCCAGGGCTACATAGTGAGACCATCTCCCCCTGCTCCAAAATTACATAAGGGGGGAGGGGGCACAGGTACCACCACATGCATGTGGAGGTCAGAGGACAGCTTGCAAGAGTCATTTCTCTCCTCCCATCATGTGGGTCCCCAGAATCTAACTCAGGCTTGGCTGCAAGCCCTTTACCCACTTCTCACTGGCCCTATCCCCAAATTTTGGTTACAAGGTCCCATTCTGATGATCACCCACAACCTCATTTATTCTATTTATTTCCTGATACTTGGGTCATTTAATCGTTTTCCTTTCTGTGCTGGGGATGGAAGCCAGGGCTTTATGCACACTACCCAGGCTGACCACTGAGACACACTTCAGGCCTAAAAAGCAATTTTTGGTGGGATGTTTGATGATAGTTGTATAACCCTTAGGAAACACTAAAACCCAATGATTAGTACAACTCAGAAGGGTCCATTTTAATCTTTTTTTGTTTGAACCCATGTCGTGCAATGCCCATGGAAGTCAGAAGAGGGTGTTGGATCCTCTGGAACTAGAGTTATGGATGGCTGTTAGCTGCCATGTAGGTGTTGGGAACTGAACCTGGTTTCTTTGCAAGAGCAGCCATGGTCTTAACTCCTGAGCCATCTCTGCAGCCCAAAGGGTTAATTTTATAGACCGGATGTGGTGGCACACACCTGTCATCCCAGCACTTGGCAAGAGGATCAGGCATTCAAGGTCAGCCTGGGCTACTGGGTTTAAGGCTGGCCTAGGCTACATGAGACCTTATCTCAAAAAACTAAACAGAACCCAACAAAAGCCGTTACCTGGGGCTGGAGAGTTGGCTCAAAATTAAGAGTACTTGCTGCTCTTTCCAAAGACCTGGGTTCAGTTCCCAGCACCCACATGGTGTCCAGTAACAGATTCCTGGAACTGGAGTTATAGATGGCTGTTAGTTGCCATGTGGGTGCTGGGAACCAAACCCAGGTCCTCTGGAAGAACAGCCAAGTGCTCTAACCACTGAGCCAGCTCTCCAGCCGTCCACCTTGTTTTAAGGCAGGGTCTCTCACTGGCCTGCAGTTCAAGGGCTCCACTGGGCTGGCTGTCCATCAGGCATCTCCCCAGCACTGGGGTATAATCTCATTTCAGCACACTGGGCTTTTTCTGTGGGTCCTGGGGTCTGACCTCATGCCCCCATGGTAGGCCCATCACCCAGAGCCTTCTCAAGGCTACCTGTAAGCTCAGCACAGCCCACTTACAGGTTATTGTGACTGGCTAAGTGGTGGACATGTAACATAGGCCTGCCCAATCAGAGATGTCCCAGGGCTCAAGCACGAAGGTGTGGAAGTCTGAGACTGTCCTTTGATCTTGTTGTCCCCCATGAGGGACACCTTAGCCAGGAACTGGTGTGGAGGGAACTGACCTGCCAGGCCATAGTGATAGCCTGGGTCTGCTGGATCAACCCTCACCTGAAACTCGGGTTTCACTGCAAAGAGCCAGGCAAGTCACAATAAACATGCCTGGTCAGGTACACAGACCTGTGAAACCAATGCCCAGGTTGTCGAGGCAGGCTGTCCACCCCAAAGGAGCTCCTGTCAACATGGCAGCAGGGGCCAAGAACTGGCCGTGTGCCCGTTCACCAAACTCAGCTGAGTGTGGGGCCCCTGGTCCTGGGTTCAGATTTAAACTTTTCTTAGTGTGTTTTGTGTCCTCATCAGCTTACTTCCCTGAGTTCCCCACACAGGAGGGCTGTTGTGAACCTGGTGGTACGTTTCAACACGCAAGATGGTTCGCAGTATGCAGCTGGGGCTCAATAAATGATCACTAGTATCATACCTCATAGGAGATGGCTTTGGCAAGGTGCTAGATGCTGTTTTGAGACAATATCTCACTACATTAGCCCAGTCTGTACTTGAACTCACTCTGTAGCCCGGGCTGGCCTCAAACTTGTGATCCTGCTGCCTCAGCCTCCCAAATAGTGGGATGACAGCCCTGTGCCACCCACCATGAATGGCCCGTTTTGTGGGTGTTGGTATGGCCCCACACATGCTTGGCAAACCCTCACCTGAGCCACATCTCCAAGTCCACTAAAAAAGCTGGGTGTGGTGAGGCACACATTTAATCCCAGCATTCGAGAGGCAGTGGGCTACAATAGGGAGTTCCAGGCCAGTTAGTTCCAGGCTACAGGGAGACGGTGTCTCAAACCCCTCCAACTTTTGCACTTTATGTGCCCCTCTCCCACCACAACCCCCCTATCATCAAGGCACTGCCAGGCAGTTTTCTCCATATACCTGGTTTTTTAATTCCATAAATAGAATTGAGACTCACAACAGGAACTCTTCTTTTTTGCCCTTTGCCTGGGCAAGGCATGGCTGGTGGGTCCCAGCCCAGCTAGGTCTAAGGCTGGTCAAAAGAATCCCCTACCAAACACTGCAAACCCACACCTAGTATCCTCTGAGGTGGCTGATGTGGCTTTCAGTGGCCACACAGGGACTGGGCTCCCACACTTGACCTTCCTCCCACTGGGGGCGGCTAGTTCCAGCAGGTTAGGCATCTGTACCTCCCACTGGGGTGTCTGAGAAGTCTCTCGAGATCCAGTGTCAACCCCAATGCACCTTGCATGACGGGAACTTGGGTTGGCAGAGTTATTGGCAACTTATAGCTCCTGGGGACTCAGGCATGCCCCAGGCCTGGCCAGCTGCCTTGTTTCCCCCAGTTCCTGGTATTCTCATGCAGTCATGCAGTCCTAGGACCAAGGTCTTCAGAACAGATGCAACATGGACAGCAGTCACCTGTGGACCGGGGCTGGTGAGCAGAGAAGACGTCTGACAGACTGAGCCTTCCTGGGACAAGCTGGAGTCAGCTGGGTGGTGACTCCTGGCCCTGCCCACATCCTGGGGGAAGCTGGAAGGTGTGCACCTCTCACAGGAGCTGGCCCCATGCAGCACCACTGCCTTGGATCCCAGGCTACAACACAGCTCAGCCCAGTCTACTTTGGCACTGCAAACTCCTTGTGGTCTGAAACTAACTCTGGGAGTCCAACACACAACTCTTAAGGGAAAAAAGCAGCAAAAGTCTCAGAACTTGGGTGCCAGGCTCCTCACCCACCTGCTTAGTAAGTAAACACCAAACCAACCCAAGGGATGTGACAGGCTGTGGTGGTTGACCCCTGAGGGCGCAGGGTGCCACCAGGCAGGACAAAGAGAGTGATCTTTGACCTTCAAACTTCTGACCCCATCTGGATGGCTACTGCAGGAGTACCGACCCTTTTCAGCCTCTTCCTGGGATTCCAGCACAGCACAGGGATAAGGGGACTGGTCCCAGATGACAAAGCAGAGGACCCCAGACACAGAGTATCGCTGGTGGGGAGGCCCTGGAGCCTCTTTCCAGGGTCATAAAGAAAGACCATCTTCCTGTCCCGTGATTCTGGAGGCTTCTGGAACCGCTGGCTGGTTCCCGCCCTTCCCTCTGCGCAGACTGAGGGGTGGGGATGCTTGAGCCCTTCCATCTCAGTCTGCAGGGAGGAGGTGGAGCGGGCACCATGCCAGGCAGACGCCGAAGGCATTGAGGTGCCGGCTCAGTGCAGCTCGATGAAGGCCACTAGCTCCTCGGGGATGAAGCCCTTGTAGGGGATCTTGTTCCTGTCCAGGGCACGGGCTGCCAGGCACTGCAGGCTCACGTGGTTGAAGGGCTGCATGGTACTCCTGGCCAGCAGCTTCTCGTCCAGCAGCTCGAAGGCTGTCTTCTTGAAGGCGTTGGTGGCGTCCACGTGGGCTCCCGCCTCAATCAGTGTGTTCATGACCGCTGGGCAGCTGTTCTGTGCTGCGATGTGCAGAGGGGTGTTGTTGTCGAAGTCACGACTGTCGGGGTCGGCCCCGCAGTCCAGCAGCACCTTGACCACCGGCAGCGAGGGGAAGACGCCCACACGGTAGCGGCCCACGTTGGTGGTCTCCTTGTCCACCGCCATGTGCAGTGGGGTGAAGCCGTTCCTGCCCCGCGGGGCACACTTGAGCAGGCGGTAGACCGTCTGGTGTTTGAGGTGCTCCTGGCTGGGGGTGCACTCCACCTTCTCCAGCAGAAACAAGAGGTGCAGGATGATGGCCAGGGCTTTGGTAAACTGGGCGGAGTCGCTGGGCTCCTTGGGCAGCTGCAGGGCCCGCTCGACCTCCCGCACCCCCTTGTTGAGCACGCCCATGAGGTCCGGGAAGCCGATCTGCATGCCCAGGTTCCCCTTGGCAGCGCGGTCCTGCAGCACGTAGGAGAAGAGTTCCGCGAAGGACAGGAAGCTGCTGGCGGTCATCGGGCTCAGCGGCTCCAGGTGGCTCTGCTGCATGTCCAGGGCGTATTTCCACAGCCGGATGCAGCGCTCGAAATTCCCGGAGTCTGCGTAGACGGCGCCGCGGTATCTGATGTAATAGGAAGTATCAGGGTGAGCCGGGCCCAGGATTCTCTCCCGGATCAGCAGGGCCTGCATGCGCATCTCGTCCGGATCTGTGACGAGGGCCTCCAGCTCCTGGGCTGTGGCCACCTCCCTAGAATAGTCGTAGGCCATGACCAGCTGTTGGGGCTCGGGCTTGGGCAGGTATTCCCCACCCTGGTGGCGGAGTTCCATGGCACGCCTCCAGTGTTTCAAGGCGCCCAGCAGATCTCTCTTTTTATCCACATAGGTGGCTCCGAGCAATTCTAAAGCTTCTACAGCCGCCTCGCGGCTAGTAGGGCAACAACTTTCATAGGACTCTGGTTCCTCGGGAGTGGAACGGCCGCTGCGGGCTCCCTGAGGTTGGCAATCATTTTCCATGGTGGTGTCATTTTCTACGGTGTTGTTAGGCTCTGGGTCTCTGTTGCGGGAACAGCGGCTACGGGCTCCCTGAGGTCTTCCACCACCTGGGTGGTTGTGGGAAGCGCCTCCCCGGGGCAGCTCCGTCGGGGCCTGCGCCCCTGAGAGCTGGCCCTGGCCGGGCTGCTCCTGGATGAGATACTCGACGATGTTGGTGTGTCCGGTGACGCTGGCGGCCAGCAGCGGGGTCATGCCATAGCCGTCGCGCTCCATGCGCGCGTGGCAACCCAGCAGCAGCTGCAGGATCTCCAGGCTGCCGGACTCGGCGCAGTCGTGCAGGGCCGTGTTGCCCTTGGCACTGCGCCGGTTGACCTGCGCACCGCGCTCCAGCAAGTAGCGCGCGATCTCGCGGTGACCCTTGTAGCAGGAGATCATGAGGCACGTGTGGCCGTGGCGGTTGGCCACCTCCAGGTCGGCCTGGTGCTCGCCCACCAGGTAGCGCACCACGTCCAGGTGGCCGTCGAAGCAGGCGGCGCGCAGCGGCGTGGAGTTGGTGCGCGTGGTGCGGTTGACCGACGCGCCGCGGTGCAGCAGGCTGCGCACCACGGCCAGGTGGCCCGCGGCCGACGCGGCCCAGAGCGGCGGCGCGCCCTCGATGGTCTCGCCGTCGAAGTGCACCGAGCCGCCGGCCTCCACGTTGGCGCCGCAGCGGTCCACGAGGAACTCCACCACCGCTAGGTGTCCGCGCCGGGCGGCGATCAGCAGCGGCGTGCCCCCGCCCGCCACGGCGCCCAGCAGCTCGTCCAGTTCCTCGCGCCCGCGGCCGCTCAGCAGCTTCTGCAGCAGCGGCAGCTTGCCGTCGTGGGCGGCGTTGTACACCGCCGTGTGCAGGTCCATGGCGGACATGCAGCTCTCGACAGCTCGCGTGCCAAGAGACAACCTTCACCGCCTACCCCGCCGCCATCTTAGCTGCTGGTGTTGCACGACAAAATGGCCACTGCGAGCCCGCCGGAGGCTCAGGGGAGCATGACGGGAAAGGGAGTTCTCGGAGCTGCACCAGCCCGCCAGACACTGGAGGACAAAGCCGTGGGAGACTACATTTCCCAGGAGGCACGACGACCGTGTGGTTGAACGGCGGGGTTAAGGGCATGGTAGTAAACAGTGGTGGTTATAAGGCATACAATTGCCGGCAAGCAAGGCTGTAGGAGTATATTATGTGCCCCCATGGGACATTTGATGATGTGCTTCCTGTTACCGTTACTACAGCGAAACCCGTCGGAAGTGAAACATGGTTACTTTCCAAACCAACAACATGCAGCATTTCAGGCCCAGCGAACAGGGGCATTGTGGGAACAGGACCGCAGGGCGGAGCCGTAGAAGGCAATGCTGTTCTTGGTATATCACTTTATACGTGTGCTTGTTTGTGCGCCCTGGGGAATTTGGTGACGTACTTCCTGCCCAAAAGCCTCTTTCTTTTGAGACAGGGTTTCCCGGTAGCCTCAGCCTCCCTGGAACTCATTGTACACTAAGAAGAACCTGATCTCAGAGAGATCCGCCTGCCTCTGCCTCCCGAGTGACGAGATTAAAGGGGTGCAGCCACCACCACGCCTGGCTCTGAAATTACCTTTTTCAGAATTCTGGGCCTCAGCAGTAGAGAAATGTGGGCAAACAACATGGTGGCCGTGAAGCAGTCATGGGACAACTACAATTCCCATCATGCAAGGCAGTAGGGAGTTAGTGTGCGTTGCAGAGGCACTTGACCTGATGTCTTGTAGTTGTTATAGGTCAGAGTTCGCAAAAAAAAATCACCAGCACCACTTTAAGAAAAGTAGCAAGGTAAATGTTTGTTATTTCGATGGCTGTCTATCTCTGGAATAGAAGCAGCCCTGATCATTGTTCAGAGTTTTTATAGGATTACAGAAATATTCAAACAGGACACTTGTGAGCCAATCAGGTTTGTACAACATAGCAGAACTTTATTAATCAACAACCAGTCATTATACAGACAAGTGATACAGTCATATAACTTGACAATCAACTTTGTAATTTTAAATTAAGTCAACTTCCTAGCCATAAAAAGTATAGTAAGAAAGCTGGAATCAGCAGTTACCGGGTGGTCAGACAATAACAGGGTGGTCTTATACTTTGTGTCAAGGTGACCTAAAATAGCAAGTGAGTTACAGAAGCAAAAACAAGCAGTTAGCCAGATGTAGAATATCTGAGATTAGCACGTTCCACTGGTTTGTGATCGAGCTATTTCTTGGAACTCAAGGCTGTTGTCTCTTCTTAAATGTTTCCTGTAATTTAAGAGCTATTCTGAGCAACATGGAGTTAGTCAACGTCCTAGCCATAACTGTTAGGGTTCCAAACAGCAGCAGTTTCCCCCCCTCCCCAACAGGGACCTCACTTTGACCTTTGAAGTCAAGGGAAACAAACTCTGCTGAGAAGCAGCCTGCCTTTCCTCTGACCTCCAAAGGTAAGATAAGCAGATTCTACCTGTTAACCAGAGATTTTAGAAGTAAGTTGTTTATCACAACAGCTTTTATCTTAAGAGGGAAAAAGTAAACACTTCTAGACCCTAATCCTACCTGCTTTTCCTGCTTCCCCCTCCCTGATTTTTCCCCCAAACACTCCCCCCTTCTACACCCTAAAGCCCCCATATATAAGTCCCAGCTCACAACCCGTGGGCTGACATCTTTCCCTGACATCTTTCCTTTCCCTGACATCTTTCCCTTCCCTGACATCTTTCCCTTCTCTGACATCTTTCCCTTCCCTGACATCTTTCCCTTCCCCGAGGGAAACATGTCCCATCCGAAATAAAGCTGTATCTTGCTGAGAATTCCATCTGTGCCTCGGTGCCTCCTCCATCTGCGCACTTGCTCTCCAACATTTTTGCCTATCAATAACAAGTACAGTAAGAAAGCTGGAATCAGCAGTTACGGGTGGTCAGACAGTAACAGGGTGGGCTTATATTGTTGTGTCAAGGTGACCTAAAACAGCAAGCAGGTTACAGAAGCGAAAACAAGCAGTTAGCCAGATGTAGAATGTCTGCGATTAGCACAGGCCACTGGTTTGTGGTTGAGCTAGCTCTTAGAACTCAAGGCTGTTTTCTGTTTTTAAATATTTCCTATACGTGGGAAAGAGGTTATTGTTAAAATACCTATTCTGAGCAAGATGGAGTAACTTAGGTTAAGTTGCTAATATAGTTCAGTAGTGTCCACAGGAGGCGCCAAGCCTGACAGAAGGGACTACCAAAACACTCTGCCTTGACGCACAGTGAACCAAGGCATCATGGGAATCGTAGTTCTAGCCACCGCCCAGGCAGCAGGGAGGAGTCGTTAAAGAACTGCAAGTTCCGTCATGCTACTCGTTACAGGCAGTGGTTTGTGAGATCCTAGTGACATGCTTCCGATTGTCAGTGTGACTGAGTAATGAGATGGCATACGCACTCCTACCGTACCCCCCCTCCACCGCCCCCCCCAAGAGAACTTTTTTTTTCTGATCTTTTTGAGACAGGGTCTCCCTGTAGCCTCAGCTGTCCTGGAACTCACTATGTAGACCAGGCTAGCCTTGAACTCACAGAGATCCGCCTGCCTCTTCCTCCCGAGAGCTGGGATGAAAGGCATACGCCACCACGCCCAGCGGAGAACTTTTTTTTTTTAATGTGCATGAGTGTATTGCCGCATGTAGGTAAAGTGCACCGGTGTCGTGCAATGCCTGTGGAGGACAGAAGAGGCTGTCGGATCCCCTGGAACTGGAATTAGGACAGTTAGCTGCCATATGGGTGCTGGGATTTGAAACCAGGTCTTCTGCAAGAAGAGCTAGTATTCTTAACCGCTGACCATCTCTCCACAGCCCCATTTCTGTTTTCTAGCGGGCCTTGCCTCAGCTAAGGGACTTGGTGGTCAGAGGTAGCGGTGGGAAGCCTAGAAGTCCAGTCATGCAAGGCTTTCCGACATAGTGCGTCCACGATTATGTAATTCTTGTTGCACCGGGCGCCACCAGACACCACCGGAAATGCAAAGGGGCTCTTGGCGATAAAGGACTACATTTCCCATGTATGCCTGGGATAGCCGTGCTAATTGGAAACGAGAGCTTTGTGGGAATTATTCCGGTCGGCACCTCGTGGCTGGAAGGACTGCAGTTCCCGACATGCAAAGAGATCCTGGTCTATTTGGTGACATAACTCTCGTTTCCGTCCAAAGGGTGGGCGTGCGGGCCCCCCCTCCGCAATGGACTACCTTTCCCAGTGGGCAGCGGACGTGACTCTGAGCCAATCAGAAACGAGAAAACAGTTTTGCGGACCCCCCCCCCCCCCCCCCCCCGCCCGCCCAGAGTGTGAACAGACGTATTTGTAACTCCTGACCAGCAGGGGGCGCTCAAGAGGTGAGAAAGACCCTAAGTGCGAGGACTCCAGCTCCATGGGTGGTCAGCCTTCGCCGTCCCCAGCCTGACCTTCCGCAGTCTACTTGTGAAACAGATTCCGGGACCAACTCTTCGGGAGCATTTCGACCAAAGGCTAAACACCTGAGAATGTTGACTTCATGTTAGGTCCATGTTGAGACAGGGTCTCATGTAGCCCAGGCTATCCGTGCTGAAATGACAGGCATGCGACCAGCTTGTGGTTTTCGCACTGCTGGGGATGGAACTCAGGGCCTGGTGCTTGCTAGGCAGGTGCGCTACGCAGTCTCAAAAGTACAGTAATAGAATGCAATGTGGTAAGGATACCCTGGGAAAGCACGGCGTCCAAGGCCTTATAAGGCAGAGGTTCACATGCACAGGCCAATGAGCCTTCCTGCAACCCTCGGCGCTCTCCTTCCATGGGACCAGGCATCAAACAGGTCCTAGGGCTGGCTGCAGTCCCATTACCCACCAAGCCACCTCACTGGCCCTTTTTTTTTCTCATCTTTTTCTTCCTGCACTCCTGCAGCCTCCAGGGAATGGACCACAGGAAGGCCATCCTTGGGGTGACCCCTGGCCACTGTTTCCATCCCTGGCTCTGAGCCCCAGGCTTGCCTGGACTACCTGTCCCCCTCCATCTGTCTGCTACTTAGGCAAGTCAGGACCACCTGCCAGTACCTCCCTGTGGTGCCATTAGCCACAAGCCTCCTCCATACCACTAAGCACTGCCAGTCCTGCACAGCCAGCTGTGGTACCTCAAAGTCCACACAGCCAGTTATGGGGGGCTTCACGGTATATTTAGTGAAAAAAAACGTTCTAAACATTCAGAAAAGCAGGGAAAATGCTAGCACAGACACAAGACTCAACGGATTTGGGTTTTTGGTTCGTGTTCACTGAGAGTGCTGGGAAGGAAAGGGTTTTAGGCACTAGAGAGCCCCAGACAAAACACGGAGACAAAAAAAAACCCAAAACCAAAACCAAACAAAAAAACAGAAAAAATAAAAGTCCTAGAAATTGCCAGTCTGTGGGAGCAGTGGCGAGGGCAGTGAAAAGTTAAATGAACCAACGTTTTTAGTAGACCTCCCAGAAAAAATCTACAGGCTGGGTTTGATTTTTAAATTTTTTTTCATTTATTTTTTATGTGTATGAATGTTTTGCCTACATGTATGTGAGTGTAACTGTGTGGTGCTCATGGAGGCCAGAAGAGGGTGTTGGAGCTCCTGGAACAGTTGTTATCCACCATGTGGGTGTTGGGAACTGAACCTGTGTCCTCTGCAAGAGCAGCCAGTGTTTTGAACCAAGAGCCAGCTCTCCAGCCTCATGTAAGAAATTTTGTTTTATTTTGAGACATGTTCTCCCTGTAACACCAGTGGGCCTGGAACTCACTCTGGAGACCAGGCTGGCCTCGATTTCACAGAGATACCCCTGCCTCTGCCTTGCTTCCAGAGTTAAAGATGTACAACACCATACTGTCTTGATTAAGAAACATTTTTTGAGGGACTGGAGAGATCGCTCAGTGGTTAAAAACACCAAATGTTCTTGCAGAAGACCCAGGTTTGAATCCCATCACCCAGATGGCAGCTAATAACCATCCATAACTCCAGTTCCAGGGGATCCAACGACCTCTTCTGATCCCCGAGGGCATTGCACAACACAGGTGCACTTACATACATGCAGGCAATACACACATATACACACAAAAAAAATTTTTTTAAAGGCTGGGCGTGGTGGCACACGCCTTTAATCCCAGTACTCAGGAGGCAGAGGCAGGCGGATCTCTGTGAGTTGAAGGCCAGCCTGGTCTACATAGTGAGTTCCAGGACAGCTGGGGCTACAGGGAGACCCTGTCTCAAAAAGACCCATTTTTTTTTTTGATACACCTCCCTTTCCCAGAGCCACTGGAACATAGCCTGAGATACCTGGTTGCTTCATTCATCAGGTCAGCCAGGTTGATTTGTATTCTAGCACATTCTATGTGCTGGGCTGTGCTGGAAGCTGGTAGTATCAAAAGACAGTTGAATGGCAGGAGCTGAGGCACCGGCTCATGTCATGTTCACTGTCAGGAAGCAGAGCAAGGAACACTGGTCTTCAATCCACTGCTCCTTTTATCTTTTTTTGTATTTTATTTTTTATTTTATGTGTATGAGTGTTATGCCTGCATGTAGGTAAGTGCACCCGTGTCATGCAGTGGCTGAGAGGACAGAAGAGGCCGTCGGATGCCCTGGAACTGGAGTTACAGACAGTTGTTAGCTGCCATGTGGGTGCTGGGATTCAAACCAAAGTCTTCTGCAAGAACAACCAGTGTTCTTAACTGCTGAGCCATCTCTCCAGCCCCCACTGTTCCCTTTTTAATCAGTGAAGGGTGGGAAACCAGGGCTGCTGTTGCCAACACCCAGACTGGGCCTTCCCACCTCAATGAACCCAATCTAGAAACTTCCTCAGACAGGACCAGAGGTCTGTCTCCTATGTGATTCTAGGTCTCATCAAGTTGAAAATTGAGGTTAACTGTCACAGGGACTTTCCAGTGAGAGATTTGA